CTCCTTCAAACAGAGGATTGTCCTGTGTAAAGTAGGCCAGCAGAGGTGGGTGACTAAAATTAAATCAACAAGGTTGCACAGGTGAGGAGCCCTGGACCAGCCCCTACCTTATCTCCCATTGCACCTGTTATGTACTGAAGTTCTCACCCTGGGCCAGCAGGGGGATACTGTAGGTAGTTTTCACTCAGGTCCACATATGCAAATAAGGGATTGAAAGTGATGTTCAGTGATTGGATAGTTACAGAAAGTTGTTACAGTTGCATTGTACTGGAGCTCTATATAAGCAGGCTGGCTGAACCCTTCAGTTCGGTTCTGTCCTGGCCTGTGAATAAACAAGAGCTGCCTGAAGAATCGCTGTGTCGTCTGATATGTTCACCCACAACCTAACAGCACCTTTGCTTCAGATACTAGCCTTAGGTCTGCTACCCCAACTAGGTCAGGCACAGAGGAAAAGAAACCAATGAAACTGGTGGGAGTAAGGACAGAGGTGCAGGTGAGGTTTAGCTCAAGGATGGGGAACCTCAGCTCCAGGGGCTACAAATGGCCCCCCAGCCCTCAGGACTCTCCTCTGGTCACACCTAGCATTGATTATACATCACATCCCCCCTCAGTACTCTTGCCCTGCTAGGAATGTTTCTTCGGACTGTGCAAAAGCCTCCTGCTTGCCTGGATGAAAAATAGAGGACGTGTGTGACTTTTTTGTGGTTGAGATTTAGCCTAATGTGCAAAGGTAAGAGTCCCATCCATTGCTCCACCCACTGTCCCCTTTGGCCTTCCCACAAGCACAGGCAGCCATTTGGCTGAAATATGTTTCCCACCTTAGTTTAGCTCCTCTCAATCCTCACAGCCTTTTTCCCAATTAAAAACCATATACCCTGCTTTGTATGTGAACGGAGGCAGATGGTTCTTTGGTTGGACATCTAAATGGGCCCTAACTCTGCATAGATGATGAAATATTTTTACAATAAGTGTTCCACATCTGCTTTCCTATATATAGCATGGTTGTCGTTAGAAGGGATGTGATAATTTTTAAAAAATCAATATATAGGAGGAATTTTGAATAAGGTTACCAGCTTTTTAGCAAGACAGAAATCTGCCTTGTACACCATTGTTTCATCTAGCTCATCTAGCTCACTTCTGTCTATACTGCCCAAGACATTTTGGCACCTGAGGGGAACCACAAAATGCTCGTGCCCCGCCCCCAACAAAGTAGATGTGGGTGAAGATCTACATCAGAAACAAGGGTGGGTGGGTTTCTTCTACCTGTGTGCTGTTTGGTTTCCAAAAAATAAATCAAAAGTTTACAGAAACAAGCAGGCATCAAATAATATTAGTTGTGATTATTTTGTAAGTTTATGCATGGTCATGTTTTCTAGGGCAGAACTCAGGGGCGCCTGCCAGAACCTCCCATTGCCCAAAGAGGTTGGCAATCCCTAACACAACTAGACATTATGGTGAAACAACCTAGTTTTTGCCCTGCCGATTCCCTATAAATTAGGGATAAGATAGGGGATTTAAAGCACACCACAGGTGGGCAGAACGATGGAGCTGAACTAGCTATTCCCACCCCCACCCCCTTCTAGTGGGGGTCACCTCTAGCCTTAGTCTGTGAACACAATTACCATTTATTTATGTGATTAGCAGGTTTACCTTCTTGTGAGGCTAAATGCACCACTAGAGAGAGAGAGCCGGTTCATATGCGACATTTGTTGCCTCATAATTTATGATTTATCATGCTAGCTAAACATGCAAAGCCTCACTTGATTTAGCTCATCAACAGGTAGGGAAAAGCAGATATGCCAGTTTCTGTTCTCTCCATTTCTCATTTTTCCAAACTTCAGTTCAGTTCTCCACATTTCTAAATCACTTTGCTATTTTTTAATGAAAAGTAATCAGCATTTTTGTGAATTGCTCCCACCGTACACATTTCTATATGAAATTTTGCATGGTGTAGACATTTTTGCAAAACACCCCCCCCCAAATGCATCTTTATTTGCTATTTTCTCTAATATATGCATTTATATGCACACTTAATCATTGTGTACACATTTTTGTACACATTACTTGTCTGGAGAACTGCATTGCGAAATCCAGGTGAGAATTTTGCAGAATAGCTCTGTTTCTGTTCACATACTGTTTCAGAAAATGTGAATTTTGTAAATTCACTTTTAAATGCTAATTGAATGGCATTTCTTCCTCACCCTGTCAGTTGGCGAGCCATGAAAATGCACGTGGGTGAATTGGCTCTCAAAAACGAGAGTGGTCAGGATAAAGAAAGCCATGTCAATGCACAGCAAAAATTGTAGCTCATATATCTTTGCCATCTTAAAAATACACAGCACAAAAGCAACAAAAAAGCTCAACAATTTTGACCTGAACCCCCAAAAAGAGGGTAGCTCACCATCAGTTTTTAACTCTGTTAGTAGATCACAGTCTCTTGGGAGTTGGCCACCCCTGATCTATAGTGTAGCACCAGGTTGTTGTTTTTTTAAAAAAGCAACACTGTATGCAGAAAGGTTTCAAACATACAAGTTAAGCAAACCAGCAAGACATTTGAATACTTGAATTTCAGTTTCGCAACTCCACAGTTCCTAATCAAAAAGCTGCAAAGGGAGTTTTGGTCCGCAGCAACGGGCACAAAAAGCAGCCCTAAAAATATGAACCTTCAACTAAAAATATCTGCAGTTATTTCAACTTCATTTTTCCTTGTTGTCTAAACCAGCCACACTGTACTTGCTTAAACAAAACGTTTAAAAATGCAGCTGTCATCCATTCTATTCCCTCCCGTAGCTGAGCACAATTGTTGTTTTATAATAAAATGGTGACATTAGTTCATATCATGTGATTAAGGAGGATTCATCAGACATTAGAGCCCATAATCACAGCCTATAGTCCCATTTCACGTTTGCAACAGGCACATCCCATTTGACCCTGCTTACTAAAGCACTTTTATTATACTAGCCCAAAGGACAAGGATTGAACAAAGACAAAAGAATGCAGGGGAGCAAATTGCTGTCACACTCACAGCTGTGTGCTCAGAGTACCATCCCAGCTCCACATGAATAGTGGGGGGAAATGGGAGTCTAGTCAGCACCACTTGATAGGGATCTCCAATCTCCCCTGACCTGTCTAACTCCCGGTCCCCTTCTTCTCCCCTCCATCCCCCTGATGGCTTTTGAATTAAACCAATCAATCTAGCCAGGCAATCAATTGAATTTTCAAAAGCTTTGGACAATAATTGGCCAGGATCCAAAGAGCTGTGCAATTTACCTTTGTGCAATGAAGGAAGCTACATAACAGGGTTGTGTAGCCAATGTAGTGCAGGTGACTTTGTACTTTGTTGGACAACTGATTGCACAAGCCTAGAACGGAAAGCCTTTAAAATTTTTATTTTTAAAGCCTGCCTTTCTTCTAAGGAGCTCACGACAAATTGACACGATACATGTGCCAAAATGGATAGCAAGGGGGTCCAACAGGACTTTTCTACGCTGGGTGAATGGGAAGTAAAATGGCAAACGTCAGTAAGTTTTAAGTGATGCATATTTTGGCAAAATGCTCCAATTCCACAGAATGGGTTCTGGCCTGGAAATGGCTGGACAGGTGGAAAGGCCAGGGAGGGACCACCTAAACACTCTCATGGGCCTCCTTATTGATCTGGAGGGTAGCAGCTGGTGAGGCAGCCCAGGGTTGGGGTGGAGGCCACCTTTGCTTGGCCAGGTGTGGTGTGGGGCCACAGAGCCATTCCAGCGCTCCTGCCATGACACGCCACACTAGGCTGAGCTCCCTGCACCTCCATCTCAGTAAGAGCCAGTGACCCAGAATGGCGCAGCTCTGACAACAGCTGCCGTATTTGCTTTAATTAGCCATTAAACCATTTCTTTTTTTATTTGGATATCCTGCTGACTGAACAAATATTTCAACCAAGGAAGAAAATGGACAGGAGTTACAAGGGGTGGCGGCAAACTCCCTCCCCACCAGTCTTAGCTGCTCTGCTGTGGAATCTCTGGGTCACACAGGAGGGTCTCATGGAGGAAAGAACCCCAAGCCTGGAATTGTCTGCTGGCAGAGTCAGATGCCACAGAGTGGGGCACATGTATCTACTGTGCTGCTGTCTCTCGCCACTTTGGGCTTGTGGCAGCAGATGCCTATGTGAGATGCAGTAGCATACTGTAGTATAGGCAGGGAAAGGGAACACTAGGAACAACTGGCAGGGAGGGGAGCTATGAACCTGGCCTCCTGGCAGCAGTGTCCCTGCCTCTTAGCAGGGCAGTGGTGAGGCTTGGGCAGTGTTATGTGCATGCCAGCGGTGCCAATCCAGCATTAGACCAGCCCAGACCTCACCACTCCCCTGTTCCACCTGCACTGGGTAAGCAGTCGCAACGCCACCGCCAGAAGTTCAAGGGCAGAGCACCACAACTCCCTGCTGCCCCTCTAGATATTATTGGATTCCCAGTTCCCATCTGCTCCACTTAGCATAGCCAATGGTCAGGGAATGGTGGGGATATCAGTCCAACAACACGTAGAGGGCCACAGCTTCCCCATCTCTGTTATATGGAGAGCACTTCCATAGCACGGAAACTGGCAGCAACATGGCCTGACTCGTGTAAGCACAGTCACCCAAAGGCTTTCTAAATACCACAGAGAGCAGATAATTTGAGGTATCAAATAGGTGCTAGAGCAGCAGAGAACCTGCTGAGCTCCAGATGTTCTTGTGACTCCAGCTCCCATCAGCCCCAGCCAGCATGACCCATGGTCAGGGATGATGGGAGTTGTAGTTCAACATCTGGAGGGCCACACATTTCCCACCTCTGGGCTCTAGAGTGTGTTGGTGTGATAACCAGTTTTAATATAAGGGTAGGATCAAATTGGTTTTAAAATCTTTTGAGGCATTTTATGGAACCGAATATTAATTTCATTGCAACCATTAAGTCACCAAGCCTTCTTTCGAGGAGCAAAATAAATTTTATTAAAAAATTAGACAATAAAACTGGAATAAAGAAACACAGGCAAGATTTGATGACAGTGGAGAGAAAAAAGACACCATAATATTATATACATGAGCAGTTATAAGCAGAAATCTGTGTATCAGCAATAGTCCTGATTATCCTGTATAGCACAATCACTTCATCATCAAAGATATTTATTTTGTTCAGCCTTCCTATTTCCCAAACCTAGCAACTCTCAGACTGATAACCAATTATTAAGTATAAATTAATGTAAATGTATATCACATTCCTGATCTCCTGACCATGCTGCTGGTTTAACATGTTCCCTTCCCGTTCCCTCTCATGAATCCTTACTCCACTGCCTTTATTTTAACCACGGTGAAGCATTATGTCTGCATCATCACCAACCATGGCTAATACCAACCAGATTTTCCTGTGTAACCAGTTTGAAACTAGGGTGTGAACTGGATCTGCAAACCCTGGTTATGAAACTGGTTAGTGTTGATGCAGATCTAACACCACGCCATGCCTAAAGCAAATAAAAGACAGGAGAGGCTGTGGCTATGAGATCAGGAACACTACAACTATACCAGAAGGAAGCTACGTGTGTGTTCAAGACAATGGAGTGCTCTCCCAACCAAGTATTCCCATATCTAAAAACAAAAAAGGGGTGTGTTTAGGCACATGACGTCTAAGACTGACATACTGCTGAATTGCTTTAGGAAGCATACCATAAAATGCGCACAACTCCTATGCTTTTGGTTTATTTAAACACTCAGACCTAAATGTAGGTTCCAGTCTTTAGAGTGCAACAGAAGTTTCAGCCAAGAAAAACCTGCACAGCTGAGCCTAGGTATCTTTAAAAACAAAAAACACAAAAAGAACATGTGGATGTTGCTGAAAGTCAGTTTTGGAAGCCTCTCTATTGATGTCGCTTTGACTAGAGCTGCATCTCTTTGTAGGTATCTATAGGGCATCTTCATACATCTGAATGCAGGTTTTCATAAGGCATCTCTGCCACTGTTAGTCAGGAACAATGGGGCCCTAATCAAGCATATGCATGATCAAACCAATGTTTAAAAGCAGTATATACATATGGTTTGTAGCAAACCAGCACAGGATAATGGGCAACTTAAAACCATGAATACTTCGTTCCATCTGTATTTTAGCTCACACTGCCTCAATTGGAGTTTGACACAAACATCTAGCCAAAGCAGAACCACCCTAGAGAAAAAGTTGCAAAGATAATTTATCACTTGTTTCTTTACATAAACAAGACCGTAGATGATGCAGACATAACAAACAGCGTGCTGCTTGCTGCTGTCAAGCAATAGTAACTGTACAGCTTATTACTGGCAATATTAATTTCTAGAATGAAAGGTGTCCCTGAGCTTATTGCAAGGTTGTATTTTGAAAAGAAAAGAAAAACCCTCCCATTACAATGGTATTTCAATAGCTTATGAGGTTTGGTCTGACTATACTTTAAAGTCCTAAAGTGTTGCTGGGCTCAGGAGTGATTTGGCTGGCCTAAGATGGACAAGGAGGGGGAATAGGTGGATGACAGTGTGATGAATGGGGCTGGGGTTGGGGGACATAGGCTGGAGGGGAACGCTTCCCCCTTCCAGGATGCAGCTGCACTGGCTGGGGAAGCGGGACCCCCACCTCTCCTCTCCGAGGAAGGGGCACAGAAACAGAATCCAAGGGGAGGAGTCAGTCCACTCTTAGGGGAAGTTGCCCAGGACCTGGTAGACACAGTGACCATCTGCATGTTCAGCAGTCTTGCAAGGCACAAGTCTCACGAATAAGAACACCTTGCCAGTCTTTGAAAGCTTGGTGAGTGGGTGTGCCAACCCATTGGGACAATTCTGTTGCTTCCTTGCAGTTCTGAACTCCTTGCCCTGATCTTGGACTCCATAAACCTGGACCACTGCTTCTAGCTTGACTAGCCTATCCTTTCCTGCCAGCTAGCCTGAGCGTAGCAGATGCTGTGACTCATCACCTGTTACTGAGCCTGTATGTCTTTTCTGCTTTAACAAACATCTCTTCCTTGCTCTCATATAAACTTAGAGTTGGAAGCGGCCCAAGGGTCATCTAGTCCAACCGCCTGCAATGCAGGAATCTCAGCTAAAGTATCCATGGCAGATCCAGCTTCTGCTTAAAAACCTCCAAGGGAGACTGTTCCACTGTCAAACATCTTACTGTCAGTAAGTTTTTCCAAATGTTTAGTCAGAATCTCCTTTCTTGTAACTTGAAGCCACTGCTTCAAGTTACAAGATGCAGCCTAGATTAGCATCAGCTTTTTTTTTGCTGCTGCATCACACTCTTGACTCATGTTAAGCTTGTGGTCGACCAAGACCCTTTTCACATGTACTGCTAGTAAGCCAGGTGTCCCCCATCCTATAGTTGTGCACCTGGTTCTTCCTGCCTAAGTACAGAATCTTACATTTGTCCCTATTGAAATTCATTTTGTTAGCTTGTGCCCAGTTCTCCAATCTGTTAAGATCATTTTAAATTATGATTCTGTCTTCTGCGGCATTAGTTACCCCTCCTAGTTTGGTGTCATCTGCAAACGTGATGAGCATCCCTGCAATTAGTTCATCCAAGTCATTTATAAAGACTCACCACCTGTTACTGAGCCTGTATGTCTTCTCTGCTTTGAAGAACATTGGGCAAAAGATTCCTGCATTGCAGGGGGTTGGACTAGATGACTCTTGTGGTCCCTTCCAACTCTCCAATTCTATCATCCTATGATTTATTTTAAACCTTAGGAATAACTTAAGGGTCAACAAGGGCCAACTGAGGAAACAACCAAATCATTAAAGTTCGTCCACTTAAGGCTAATTAACAGTACTGTGTACAGTTATTGTACACAGCGTACACCTCTTACCTTAAGGCTGTGATTCTGTACTTGGGATACTGTATTTCCAGGCATTCAAAAGTGCAATAAAGAATACTTGGTATACTGTATTTCCAGGCATTCAAAAGTGCAATAAAGAATACCTTCAAGTTACATGAGCCATTGTACCTTGTAGGACAAGTACAGCAGGATAATACTCTTTTCCTTTGCATGGTATTCTTTGCATGGTATGTGCTCCTCTTGCACCAAAGCAAACCTCTGGTAAGACACACCATTTTGAGAAGGTGGAACCAGTCGTTATTCCAACCCAAAGCAAAACATTCATTAAAATCTACTTGCATGCAGGTGGAATATCAAGGTCTCTTTATTGAAAAGGTATCTGCAGGAATATCATACAAAGACAAGGAACCAAAGGGCTGCACACAATGTCAGGTGTGCAGTGGGATCCACCCCATCCCATTGCAGCACTTGATGCTGACTGAAAAGCCACCTCTGGATCTTCCAGAGAGGGGTTCAACATCGTGCCGCAGGATGCAGCCAGAACTTCCAAATTATCACACCTACCAACCTCTGAAAATTCAGCAGTGCTTTCGGCTCATGCAAGATGCTTGTGTGTAGATCCTTGCCAGAGCCAAACTGCACTGCTGTACAGCATGCAGAAGAACCTAGAATTGTACAACAGTCACCTGTATAACTAGCACCTGAGCAAGAAAAATTCCAATTGATTAGGTCCATTATTTGTACAGGCTGGGAATAATGGATATGCAAGTACAAAAAGCAAAGGCTTTCGATCACAGTATGCAACAATCTCATCTAGTAAAGTACTACCATCAGCTCAGTGGTGGTGCCCTGTTTACGTAGTTCACACTCCAGACCCTTGCCTGACACCTCCTTCTGGTGCCAACAATATTTTAATTTCCCAGGATTTTGATGGTTGAACAGCAATATTTGTATTGCTGTCGTTTTTTAACGCGCTGTTTACACTTTTTAAATTTTGGTACTATCTTGTTGTGTTTGTTTTCTTTTTTATTACGCAATCTACCCTGAGAATATTTATACCGAAGGATGGCAAGGATCGTGGCTAGCCAATACGGAGTCCTCCAGATGTTGCCGTACTATAGTTCCCATTACACTAAGCCAGCGTGGCCAATGGCCAGGGAAGATGGGGAATGTAGTCTAACAAAAGCAAGCGTTGGTACTTACTGTGATAAGTCCCTTATTTGTAGGGAGGAAGAGGCTCCTGTGTGGGTTATCCCCGCCTACCTCTCCACTGGCAGCAGGTCAAACTTTTGAGAGCATAAACCAGGGGGCAGGGCAACCCTGCTTTCTCTCTTTTGGTGCGTCTGGAGCTGCCAGCAAGAGCAACCTGCAAAGGAGCTGGCAGGAAGCTGAACTGGCAAAGAACTGCCCTGTACCCTCTCAGAAATTTGATTTCCTGCCAATGGACACGGGCAGTGACAACCCACACAGGATCCCCTTCCTCCACTACAGGAGAATCACTTGGGTTACCCTGGCAAGTTTGTTTTAAGTTAGGTTAGGAAAGAATGAACAGGAAAGTTGTTGAACTGTGTATATTCCCCAACGACAAGGTATGTCTAAACGGCCTTTATGTTTTCAGCTTGTGCTCTTATGCAACATGTACTGTAACTGTAAGGGCAAATTCAGAGTCGCAGATAAGGAAAGGATACTAAGATCTTTTTAATAAGGGCAACAAAAGAAAAGAAAAAGTTGTTTCACCAGGATAGATTCACATTACAGTACATCAACATCGACAGCATTCTCTTTCGTCTATTTTTGGTACATAAGATGGAACCTCTCTACATAACCTCGTAAGGCTTCAGTAACTAAGAGTAAAAAACCTATTAGTTTACAATTTCTTTAAAAAATTCTGAAAGACACAGCAAGTTCTAAACTTTAGTAGTGCTACCCATACACAACTACCTGATTTCAGAACCCAGTAAGAGCCCAAACGTCTTTTTCAAGGAAGCTCTGCAGCAGTGAAGTTGTGCAATATGGATGTTGCTTACTATGACTAAAAAAGAATAAAAGAGAGAAAGAAATACACATGGCACATTCTCATTCATGTTTTGCAATGTAAAAAGTTACAAACATACCTAACCAAATAAATAATAATTAAAAAAAAAAGATGAATGTGTTTGTTAAGTATCCTAAAACCACTATGGAGAATAATGGCCACATTCGCTCACAGATTATTTACATGGTAATACCCAGCTGAGGGTACACTGCTACAAAACGTGTTAAACAAAGAGTAAACTTGAAATGTTTTACTTTTTTTCCATAATAAAAGTCTAGCAGCTTGACTAGCTAATGCTGTTGTGTTTTCCTTTTCCCCCACAGAGAGTTTGGAAAGTGTTTAATCTATGTCTTCATCCAGTTCGTAATTGTCTTTATCATAAATATCTTTTACTAAAAGAACCCGTACGAGCATGTTTTCCAATGTATTGCGATCCACTGAGGTGGAGGTGTACCAGACCATGCTGTCTGAGGGAACCGGGTAGGCTGGCTGCAAATAGAACACATCCATTCTCTGACTGAGATTGGGTGGGCTGAAAGGCGAGAAGAGGACAAGATGAAAACAACAACAACAACAACAACAACAACAACAACAACAACAACACAGCCTATCCACATAGACATTCATTCATATGCTGTCAGGGTACAACTACGGTTTTCCACATACTTCTGTTAGAGCAGAAGAGCACCTAGTTAAGTAGTGACTTCATGTAACATGCAAAAGCTAGTACCTTAACACAAGTCACACTATGGAAAAGTTCATAAAATCAGTATTTATCATCCCCAAACCCACTTAGAAACAAGCAACTGAGGTTTACTACTGCAAACAGCCCAAGGATGATCATATTCAGACTTTTCTACTGTTGTCCTGTCCATTCTTCCTTTAACAATCTGAATCTTATCATGAATGTTTAGATACATGCCTAGTGCTCCCCCTATTGGCTTTTCAGCAGAAGCAAGGCAGACATGGGTACAAATAAAACTAATTTGGTGTAGCCCACCAACTCAAAAGAAACAGAGGGAAAAGACCTGGAAAAAAGAGGGGGTCTTGTGAGACAACCCAAATGGAAACAGTCCAAACATTCATGCAGACGAAGAGGTCACTGCCGTTACAGATCATATTCTTTTTAAAGAAATAAGGAAGAATTATGTTTGCATTATGCTGTATCTTTCTTATGAGAAAGCATAATTATCTCTGTTAAGAAAGAGAATAGAAGCAATAAGAAACAGATTTACATATACACAGGCTTCACCGCTACTGTTATTTCAATACCTCTTAGATAAGTAGCATTCAAACATTTTCACAGGGCATCTAGAGGGATCCGCTGTGTTCTCAGTTTGTTCAAATACCGGCTCATCATCTTCATGCTTCCTTTTTCCAGTAGTAATTTTATCTTCTAGAACAGAAGAAAAAAAGAAAAAGATGAGACAAAAGAATATCAGAATGGAATGAAAGGAGCGCAAGCCCAAAGGCTACAGTCCTGGAAGTTGAACCTTTCCAGCTAAACCTAACAGCCCTGCCCCACAAATGGCTGTGTGATTTGGAAGGTGGAGGTATGTGGAGAGTGAGAAGGTTAGGGTTAAGCATTCCCTCCCCAGCTGCCACCTCACACATTATCTCTCCCCCCCAATAAATTGGTAATTCTAACTTTCTCTTGAAGGGGTGAAGCTGCAGAGGGAAGGCCAGAGGATGGATCCCAAAGCAGTGTGGGCTGGTGGTACCCCACCCCTGCCATCATAGCTACATCTCCTCAGCTGGTAAGTAGTGACTGAGCAACCCTCAGTTTACAGCTGCTCTTTCTCAATTCTATGCAAAGAATGGGGAAGAGCGAGGTGTTCTATGTGATACACGGCGAGGTAGAATATAAAAGAGAAAACACAATGCAATGAACCTGCCTTGAATAAAATCCATAACATCTGTCCTTTAAGTGTGGCCGTGGTTTCTTTGCCACAGCTTTGTGGGAGTGCCACAGCTCCGTGGTAGAGCACATGGTCTGGCTTCAAGGAGGCACAAGTGAGAAAGACACCTGGTCAGAAACTCTGGAGGTGCAGGGCTAACCAGTGGAGACAATACAGAGCTGAGTGTGCAATCTGCCCTCTTTCCAGAGGCAGACCTCTCCCCTTTAGCTAGAGGTCAGCCACTGTCTCAGGTCTTTCTGAGAGAGATGGCGCTGTTGCTGTTGATTTCTTACCCACCCTCCACCACAGAGTCCCAGGGCAGGTTGCGGAAATTTAGAAGCCTGTAGAAATTTATAGAGCCAAGTAAGTAGCCCAGTGGCCCTTTCGACTGGGCCAAATATGGATGCCGCCACCATATTCACTTCAGAATGTTATGGTACCTTCGTTATCCGTTCCACATAAGGAGGAAACCTGGTATCTCAGACAAGCTTTGCTATCCATGGTTAGAGGATTTTTCTTCCAGTGCCTATAAACGGTGCCAAAGGAAAGTCTTAAGTGCTGCTCCACTGTTTTCAGGCCAAAATACTTGGTGTTGAAGTAGAACAGTGTATTTAGAAGAGCAACTGGAGAGTGGGATCCTAACTGCTTTATCCTCCACAGATAGTCTTCTTCAACCCGAGAAAAAATTGAACCTGGTAGGAGAAAGGGGGGGGGGATATGAGTATTCTGTAAATGAACCTATGGAATTTAACAAAAGGAAAATGTGCTAAACTGAATTATCAGTTAATAGTTCTCAGAAATATCTGCTACAAATTAAAAATTCACAGTCCCACCTCTTCAGTCTAACCAATCAATTGAAGTTTACATGTATCTACGATTCACAATCAGCTTCATGGAACTTAAAACACGGCGTTTTAATTGCACTGAACTTGCTTAAGGAGCATGAATTCAGAAAGAAAATAGGGTAATGACCAAGACAAGAACAGTTACCGTCTGGAAGTATGCTTGGTTGCCAGCTTCTGAGTATTTTATTTATTTCCTGCTCAAATGTTTGATAATCTGGATCCAAGAAGATATTATCTTTCCTATTGCTTCCATTCAAATACTACAGGAAAAGCGGAAAAGCAAAATATTTAGTAGACCAAGACAAAAAACAGAAGCAAAAACTATTCCTTTTATATACATATGAAAGCAGGCCATTTATTCATTTTAAGTTTTACAAACCACTCTCCCTCCAAAAATGAATTCCAGGGTAGTACACAAAGTAATTTAAAATTGCAGAAAAGGATATGGTTAAAAGTGTTTGAAGGTTTGAATATTTTTATATATTTTAAGCTGCTGTATTTTATGCTTCTTGCATATGATAGCACCTCAGTTTAACACATTTGTCTCAGTTTAGTAATTAACAGGCTTGTCAAATATTAGGTTGGATTAATAGCTTCCATTCCCTTCCATTCACAGAGGTTCTTCCAGGAATGCAAAGGCCTTCGAACTAAGAGAGGAGATAATTATTCTCTGGACTTCTGTTACTGGGTGCTAGGAGCATGCCTTCTGTGACTAGAATTGAACCCATGGAAGCTTTGGATACAACAACCAATTTATTCTACAGACCAAGACACCTAGTAGCATTAGTTACAAAAAACATATTTAATCGTGGGGGGCATGGAGGGAGACCCAGAAGGGGAAGGGAACGGTTTTGGGTTGAAAGAAAGAAAAAAGTATTTGTTTTCCACTTCAGCCAGTTCCACTTTGGCCACGTTTACTTTTAGAAAGTATTTCAACAGATAATTCCTTATTTTGCCACTGCCAGTCTTTCATTCAAGCTTATCATGATATCTCTCCCGTACAGATTACACTGTTGTTAAAATGACTCACTTCCTGAATCCCAAGACACAAATAATAGATGCTGTCAGGTGCATAGTTTTCCCCATTTGGTCTTCGGATCTCATTAACAAAGTGTGCCAACCCAAAGTTTAGCTCAGCAGACGTATGCGACACGATATCTTCTTTCAATTTCACTGTTTTAGCTGTAGCGCAAAATATTGAGAATCATGTAACGCAAACTCCATGTTATAAAACAAAGCATCTAGCAGAATACAGGAAACAGATAAAATGCATACAAAAGCAAACGCAAATACTATCGAAGAAGCCCATCTCAGATGAGAATTTTTTCACTAAAACTGGCAATTTCCATTAACACTTTTATAACGCTTAACTATTTGGTACTCTTAATTATTATTTGTAATATCTTGCTGTGACCCTGTTTCACAGATCAGGCACTCAAGCTGAGAGCAACTTGCCCAAAGCCACCCCAACAAAACATGGTAAAGCAGAATTCGAACCCCGATCTAAGCTCAACCCACTGTCTAAGCTCAACCCACTGCCTGCCTGCCTGCCAGACCTGAGACTTATAGCTAAGTAGGAAATACTTACTTGAATTCAGCTCATCTAATACTGGCAGATCTTCATCTAGATTCCTAGTTTTTACCCAGTGTTTCCACGCATTTACACCATACGCATACTTGAAGGGGAAACTGCACTCTGAATTCTCAGAGCTATCATCCTGAGAGTGGTACTCTGACACTGCTTTTCTCTTCGCTCCCTGCCATTAAAACAGATCTGTAAACATTACTGCTTATAAACATTGAATTTACACCACTTCTGCACTCTACTATGGGCAAATGAAAGCCAAGAAAGTCATAAATACCAGCCATCAAGCCTTTTATTAAAAACACACACAAAAACACACAAGTAATTACTTGCACTTTACTGAGCTCAAATCAGCATGATGACTCCCTATAATATAATCCCTTTCAATAACTGTTCTGCACTAAGATCCAAAGTTGGTTTTAATTATGCAATAAATAATAATAATGATGATGCAATTATTGTTTAATTAGGGCCACCAGTGTAAAGGCACTTTACAGCATTGTTTTCAGAGGCAACAAGCTTGAGAAAGGTAAACTACATTCTGGAGTTGGGAATAATTTTATTCAACATTATGTCTAAAAGGCAGTCTTAAAATTTTAGATTGTTAAATAATTGTTACCAGCTCTTTGGAAAGGTAGGTAAGACATGTGTGACTCTGAGAAATCCAAACATTTGTGTTACTTTAAGAATTACTCTCAGGGGTGTTGTTGCTTGAGGAGGAAAATCTAAATGGAGATCTTCGCTGATTTAATATGAAGCATGGTCCATTTAGAAAGGCATTATCTTAAGGAAGCTCCATTGTATCAAAGGAAGTGGCATAAAAAGACTACCGTGCTGTTTACACAGCTCCTTTCATTTCAGTAGGTTTAGTTCAAGAGACCTTCTCAGTGCCCCTCCCCCCCAAAAAACTTTAATAGCACATGACTGTCACCTAATGAAATGCTTCACCTTCATTCATGGTAGGGCTATTTCAGGCTCCTATTATACAAAAGGTCACAACCATATCTTCCATTTCCCATGCAACGCATATTAGTTTGGAATACATTTCAGTCACAAAAACTATATGCGTACCTTCTTCTTAGTTCGAGGTCTTGGCTGTTCCTCGTATTCCTCTCCAAAGACAGGTGGCAGCAAAAATTCACTTTCTGTGTCAAGTTCCTCTGTTGCTGTACATATATTGGAAGGGTATTAATGCAGTTAAATGTCATGTAACCTAAAACTGTTGTATCGGGTGCATATAACTGACAGAAGCCTTAATTATTGTACAATGTGTTTTACACATTATTCATCAGTGCTGGTCCCTATTCTAGAAAAACCTGCAGAAGACAGTATTCTGAGACGCACTGGTAGCGTAACATTTATTGCTTTCTAAAAAGTGGTTGCTTCAGTAGTGCTTGAGTAAGACAACAATTTATCACTTCATTTCTACTCCCTTTGTTTTTTGGTATGAGAGAGAGAGAGAGAAGTGCAAAAGAGTGAGAGAGAGAGAGAGAGAGAGAGAGAGAGAGAGAGAAGTGCAAGACATGGGGTCTAGTATTGGTTTGTTAGTATGAGACCTTCCTAGCTGAGGGCATGTGAGTTGACAGGGATATCTAGTCCCTCCTCATGTAGATATAAAATTCTGGAACCAAGTTTGATGGCCAATAGGTTCAAGACAAACAAAATGTATCTTCCTGCAGTGCAGTGCAGAACTCATGTGGTGACTGTTACCGCGGAATATGGCTTTTATACGAATTAGAAAAGGGGTGGCCAACTCCCAAGAGACTGCGATCTACTTACAGAATTACCTAAACCTCCCAGGATCTACCAGTAGATCGTGATCAACCTGTTGGACATCCCTGAATTAGAGGATAGCAATGGCTTATAGCCAGAACAGTAAGAAAAGAATAACAGTTGCACCCATTTTCAAGGGAAGGGTGCCTCTGAATTCCAGATTAAGGGACAAAAACAGGTGGCGTCTTTCAACATCATGTCTTGCTTGAGAACTTCCAAAGGACACTAGATGACCAGAACGTCAAAGAATGCTGAACCAGACAGACAATGGCCTGATCCAGGCATTCAGGTGCACTCATGCTCTCTTTTAAAAGGATAAAATTACCAACATGTTTGTAGATTTCTCTAAGCCATTGTAAAGGCTTTGAGTCAGAAACTGTTAACACATTAATAAAACTAAGACATCCATGCGGTGAGGAAGGGATGAAAACAAGTGTTAAAGAAGTTGGCCCCATGTTGGCATTAATCCTATCCATTTTAAAACTGAGTGTACAAACCTCTAGGAAAATCAACCTCAATGTCAAGGTCTGGCTCATATGGAATATCAGGCAAGCTTTCCTGTGTTTCTGTTTTACAGTCGGGCAATTCTGTCTCAGTTATTACACCTGTCTCAGTTATTACACCTGCAATTAAAGAAAGGCAATGTAACTAATGTGTGAACATGAACAATGGGTCTACTCTGAGTAAAATGTAGTTGAATACCACCCAGTATATTGGTTTTATTTTATTTAACAGGATTTATTATCCAAAAACAATATAAATGATTCATTGAAAATACCAATCAAACCAAACTTTAAACCCTGTCCTAGGGCCTAAGACTAGAAACTTAGCTCCAGAATATAGCATCCATCAGGAAAAAGCATTGTGTCTGGGAAAAGGAACACACAACAATCACTCTTTGCTCATACAGTCCACTGAGGGAAGAGAGGGAGGTTGTCATCTCAAGAAAGTCCTGTATATATATCAAGAGGGTGAAGAAGAAAGCAGCAGGGCCAGTGCAAGTCAGCTGTCACTCAAATCCTAGTGCATGCGCACTCTCCTGCAGTCAATAGTAGTCAGGAGGGCAGAACAGGGCAGGGCCACTTTTCTGACATCCTGTCACCACTGCTGCTGTAGCTTCCTTAGGGGAGCAAGCAGTGAGGTTGACACAGCGCAAATGCACCGGCGGGAGCACTGGATTAGTTCTGCTGGTGCACTGACAATGCACTGAGCTTGCTACCACCTCCACGCTTCCTCTCTCGGTAAGCCACAGCAATGGTGGTGAGGGGACGTCAGATAAGCACTCCAAACCCTGCCTCTAGTGCAATGCATCCTCTTTTCCAGAAGGGGACCCATCCCTCTTGAAATAGTCCCATGTCACTAAGGGAGGGAGACCACCCAAAGTCTAGGTATAGTTGCGCTATGGATGTCCACCTTCCATGGCCCTTTGCATAATACCACTTTATTCCCATCCAGATCACCACAACTGATATAGCCAGCCATATTGGCCACAAAACCCAAATGGAGAGGAGGACAGGGAACAGAACTGTCTACACCATCCTTGCTATTTATTTATTTTTTACCCCTCCGAACTTGCAGTGGGAGTGGGTTCACCACATAAGCACTGAGGACAGATTCAAATTTGCCAAACCAATAATAAAAAACCCCTGTTACCAAGACATACTTTTGAGCTCTTGAGGTTCCACTTTCTCCTCTTTTACAGGCATCTCTTCTGCTACAGCCAGTGACTCCTCCTCAGCCTTCACAGGACTGGAATTTGTTTTGTTATTTAGTTCTTCTATTGCTTCAAGTATCTTCTCGCTGCTCTCCAGTGTGGTGGGCAGAAAAACCGGAACTGGTACCTAGTATAGGAAAGATTAAATCATTAGTGACGAAAGTACCGCTAACGCCAAGAAAGCAGAACTGGAGTAAGTCCTCACAGCCATTTTTCCGAAGGAGAAACAACCAGTGGCATATAAATGTAGGGACAAACAGAAAAGGAGAAATAACTCACTTACTGCACACGCACCCAGGGGACTATAAGCAGAAGGCCACAAAAACAGGCTGAATAATATATTTAAAGGCACAGCATTAAAAATAAAAAAGCCCCAAGGCTTAATTCTGTCTCCCACTTCACTTACAGTGGGTGGGCTCTTTAATCCCACATGCTTCCATAAGCACAAGGGGGTGGGGGAGGATGTGATTTTGTAAATTCCCCCTTTCTTCTGCAGCCTCCCATGCTATTCCAACCAAACGCTCTGCAGAAGATGCAGGGGCGGGCGGGGGGGGGAACAGTGCAAATGCACCAGTGGTAACACTGGATTAGCCCTGTTGGTGCAGTGTTACCTCCCCACCCACAGAGGTCTCTACTGGACACAACTGGATACAGCCCTACGTTCTCCGGAATCTCAACCACTCCTATAAAAATAGTGGTATCCCCATTTAGAGGGATAACACTAGAATACATTTCAGTATATCAATGTTAGGGTGGTGGAAAAGATATGAATGCTCTGCATTAATTGGTTAATTCCATAAACAGGTTAGGTAAAGGTTTTTTGTAGCAAAAATTTTGTAATCCACATTTAACAGGGATATGGGCCGATAGTTCTTAAGCTGTGTCTTTTCAGTCTCAGACTTTGGTATAAGTGTAATAAATGCGTCCTTCCACGACTCTGGCGCTCTTTTCCCCTCTAAAATTTCATTGCAAACCTCAGTTAATGGTCGAATTAGCCAGTCTTTCAAAGTTCTGTAATATTTTGAGGTTAAACCGTCCGGACCTGGAGATTTTCCCAGCTGCATATTCTGAATGGCACCTTCAACCTCCTGTTCTGTAATTTTATAATTCAGCAATATCTTGTTATCCTGAGAAATTTTTGTAATCCATTGGTTTTCAGAAATTGCTCTATTTCAAATTCTTTCTGAGGCCCTTGTGTGTATAATTGTTTAAAATATCTCTGGAAGCATTTCCTAATTTCTTCTGGATTCTGGATATTTTTCCTTCCACTTCCAAATTAGTAATAGTATTGAGTTTTTGTCGTTTCTTCAACTGCCAAGCCAGCAGTTTCCCACATTTATTTGCCGATTCAAAAGTCTTTTGTCTCATTTGTTTAATTTTCCATTCCACTTCTTGATTTATCAATTTCATATACTGCACTTGGTGCAATTTTATTTCCCTCAGAATCTCTTGTGAGTTGGGCTTCACTCTCAGTTTCTTCTCGCCCTCCTTTATTTGTTCCAGAATTTTTTCTTTCTTTACATTTTGGGCCCTCTTCTTAACTGAATTCTGTTGAATCAGGAAGCCCCTCATAACAGCTTTACTTGCGTCCCAGATTGTTCTTTTTTCTACAGCTGTATTCAAATTTATCTCAAAGTAATCTCTCAATGTCTTTTGGGCCTTCTTGATCACCTCTTGATCTCTAAACAAGGTGTCATTCATCCTCCATCGGAAGGAACCAGTAGATGTTAACTTCATCTCCATTCTCACGGCGTTATGGTCGGAGCATGTTTTTGGGCAGATCTCTATCTTCCTAACCTTAGGTGCCAGTCCTCTAGTAGTCCAGATTTGGTCAATTCTTGTCCATGTCTTTTGGGCTTCAGAAAAAAAGGTTCCTTCTCTATCAAGGGGATTCCTAGTTCTCCAGATGTCAATCAGATCCATATTGTCAGTTAATTCAAAGAATGTTTTCGGTAGTCTGCCATCTTTAGTAACTACCTATCTTTGTGACTTGTCCATATTTGTGGAAACCACCCCATTCATATCTCCCATAAAAACAGTGTTATAGTCCATATAGTCCATCAAGATCTCATGCAACTTTTTGTAAAATATAGATTTCCCCTCATTTGGTGCATATAAGCCTACTATCAAAAATTTTTCTCCTTGTACTTGAATTTCAATTGCTATGAATCTTCCTTGTTCATCCTTAAAGACGAATTTTGGTGAGAGGCTCTCCTTTGCGTAAATGACCACTCCTCGTTTTTTAACTTTATCTGATGAAATAAATTCTTGACCCAATCTCTTATTAATCAGTATTTTCCTGTGGAGCCTCGTCACATGAGTTTCCTGTAGGCAGATTAAGTCCAATTGTTCTTTTTTAAGTATATGAAATACTTTCCTCCTTTTTTCCGGAGAATTTAGGCCACAAACATTCCAAGTTAAAAGTTGCAGAGCCATGATGGTTTCTTTATTTTCCTCCAACTGCTCCCAATAACTCTTCTTCTTCTGTTGGTGGTTTCGCCTTCTCTGTCTTATCCTCTCCCAACGGTGGTAATGTAGGATCCAATCCTGGTAAAGGGGCTTCTGGCTCCTTCCCCAATCCTTTTTGTAGGTCCTCTTGATGGTCTCTCAAAAAGTTCTGTTTCTCCTCCACAGATTTTATTTTAATTTTCTTGCCTTTAAAAATTAAAGATAGGCCTTGAGGAAATTCCCACCTGAAAAAATTCTGTTTCCTCTCAGCAGCGTCACCAGGTCCCGGTAGTTGGACCTAAGCTCCAAAAGGAGCTTTGGAATGTCTTTAAATATTTCTATCCTTGAGTCTTGTATTATCAGTGTATTTCGGTAATGTGAACTCAAAATTTTATCTCGTTCCTCCTTAGATCGCAAGGTAATCAGGCAGTCTCTCACTCTGTTCTTTCTTGCTCCTCTTCCAAGCCTGAAAGCAGACGTTATCTTGAAATCTTCCTTATCGTTCAATTGCCAAAAATTGGCAAATTCTTGTGTCAAAAAGTCTACCAGGCTCTCTTTCTCAATCTCAGGTACTGCTCTGATCCTTAGATTGGTCTGTTTCTCCTTTAGCTCAAGGACAGATAGCACTTCCTGGTGCGTTCCCAATCTTATGTGGTGCTCTTCAACTTGTTTAATTAAAGGTGGTAATTTTTCTTCAGCAGCTACCGCCTTTTCTCTAGCTTCCAAAGCTGTTTTTTGGGTTTCAGCAGATTGTTCCAGTAATTTTTTAATCACATCTGTATTTTCATTAGTCTGTCGAGTCAGCTTATCAATACTTGCAGAGTTTTGTCTAATAGCTTCTAGTGCCTCGGCATTCTGTTGACCCAATTTTTCAAAACCTTCATTCACAATTTTAAATAAACTGGCAAGTCCTTCTTCCTCTCCTTGTGGCCCAGCGATGGATGGCCTACGCTGTTGCTGTTGAGCAATGTTGCTCTGTTGCCTGCCTTTCCCGGACCTCAAGTTTCTTTCATCCATGGCACTTTATCTAGAAGTCAAGGTCACTCTCACAGTTGGGGTTGTTTTGCTGTTAAGCTTTCCCAGGCTGCTGTTGAGTGGAAAATTCCTCAATCAATTAAAGACTTTTTCCCCTTTGGCCTCCAGGGGGACACAAGTAATAAAGTATCAAAAATGAAAACTCTCAAAAACTTTTTTTTTTTTTTTTAAACCCCTTCAGCCAAAGAGGCAACTTTTTTTTCCAAAGTTTCAATTTTGTAAAGTTAATAGGCAAGAAGATACATTGTCCATTTAGAGTGCTAACAAAATATCCAATCTTTCCAAACCTGGCAGTCTGTCCCCAGGGATTGAGAGGTGGTCTTCGTTTCCTTATTACTCTTTAAATTACACAAAATTAACAAGAAATACTGTCTCTTCTTCCCCCCCTTCTCCAATTATGGGAGGGAAATTTTTAAATTTGACGTCTGTGTTTCAGTCTCTTTTGACAGTCTTTGGTATCGAACTCACACAGTCTTTGCTTTAATCCTTTATACAAACCGGGAGGTGGACTTCCTTTTTACACCTTCCCGCTTCAGCCAAATTTGTTCAAAAATTTTAGTTGGTCCTTCTATAACGTCAAACCTACTCACGGGTTGTAGTTTTGACAGCCGAATTGTCAAGGAAGAAAGGTCAGCGCTCTCCAGCAACAGCCGCACGGCTTCACTCCGCGAAAGTAGCAGAAGACTCACAGTGCCGCGCCACCCCCGTCCTGCTTCGGAGCCCCTCGCGGGTTCCTTTGCCGTTTAGGGGCGCGCTCCAGGCACCCGCCGAGTCCCACGACCGCAGGCTTCCTCCGCCTGCGGGTTTCAAAAGGGTCTCCGCTGCGCCGTAGCGGATCGACCCGATTTTCGCGGAGCTTCTCCTCCGAGATTAGGAGGAGATCGCCATTACTTGTTGGCGCCGCCTCCGGAAGTCGGGACAGCCAAATTTAAATAACAATTTGACACACAGCTGTGAGGCATTTGCGAGCTTTTTTGCGGAGAAGGTCTTGTTGCTCCGCCATGACCTCCCGGCCAATTTGGATACAATAAAGGAACTGGAGGCCCCTCGACTGTCCTCGGGTCCAGTATTGGACCACTTCGACCGGATATCCCCAGCCGATGTGGACAGACTCCTCCGAGCTGGAAAGCCCACCACCTGTCCTCTCGACCCGTGCCCGACTTGGCTGATTAGAGCGTGTCCAGACGAGGTGCGGGCCCTTCTGGGGGATATCATCAATTTGTCCCTTGGCACGGGACATTCCCAGGGGAACTGAAGGAGGCAGTGGTGCGCCCGCTCTTAAAGAAAACATCATTAGATCCTTTAGATCTATCCAATTACCGCCCGGTTTCGAATCTTCCGTTCCTGGGTAAGGTGATTGAGAGAGCGGTTGCTGAACAGCTTGGTGGTTTTCTGGATGAAACATCGGCTCTGGATCCATTCCAGTCCGGCTTCCGCACTGGTCATGGGACCGAGACGGCTCTGGTTGCCCTAACAGATGATCTTCGTAGACAGCTGGATCGAGGCGGGTCGGGGCTGCTGATTCTTCTAGATCTGTCAGCAGCTTTCGACATGGTCGATCACGAACTTCTAGACCACCGCCTTGCCGACGTGGGGATCCAGGGCACAGTCCTTCAATGGCTGCGCTCGCTTCTCTCTGGTCGGGGACAGAGGGTGGCGCTTGGGGGAATTGTCATCGCGCCACTCCTTGGTGTGTGGAGTACCTCAGGGTGCGATACTCTCCCGATGCTTTTCAACATCTTTATGCGCCCGCCCAGCTTGTTCGGAGTTTTGGGCTGGGCTGCCATCAGTATGCCGATGACACCCAACTCTATCTGTTGATGGATGGCCATCCTGACTCGGCCCCAGACACACTGACTAGATGTTTGGAAGCTGTGGCTGGATGGTTTCGTGGGAGCCGGTTGAAGCTAAATCCTTCGAAGACAGAGGTCCTGTGGCTGGGACGGGGCGATATGGGATTGGGGGCAACTCCCATCTCTTGCGGGGCGCAATTAGTGCCAGCACCGTCCGTTAAGAGTTTGGGTGTAATCTTCGACACCTCCCTTTCCATGGAGGCGCAGATTGCAGCTATAACAAAGGCGGCATTTTTCCATCTCCGCCAAGCTAAGCAGTTGGCTCCTTACCTCTCTCGCCCTGACCTAGCCACTGTGATCCATGCGACGGTCACCTCCAGACTGGATTATTGTAACTCGCTCTACGTGGGGCTGCCCTGAGACTGACCCAGAAACTCCAGCGGGTGCAGAATGCTGCAGCGAGACTCCTACGAGGTCTTCGCTGCGAGATCACATTCACCCGGTGCTATACCAGCTGCACTGGCTCCCGGTGGAGTACAGGATCAGGTTTAAGGTGCTGGTTTTAACCTTTAAAGCCCTATACGGCCTAGGACCCTCGTACCTACGGGACCGCCTCTCCTGGTATGCCCCACAGAGAAACTTACGGTCTTCGAATAAAAACATCTTGAAGGTCCCAGGCCCCAGAGAAGTTAGGGCTGGCCTCAACTAGAGCCAGGGCTTTTCGGCTGTGGCTCCGATCTGGTGGAACACTCTGTCACAAGAGACCAGGGCCCTGCGGGACTTGACATCTTTCCGCAGGGCCTGCAAGACAGAGCTGTTCCACCAGGCCTTTGGCCAGGGCACAGCCTGACTCCCTCCCTCGGCAATCTTCGCGGAGCTCTGGCCCAATGGTTGCCAGTGGCTTGAATTAATTAATTTTATAACGAATGATTTTAGACTGTTGTTTATGCTGTACTTTTGTACTGTTTTATTGTTGTTAGCCGCCCTGAGCCCGGCTTCAGCTGGGGAGGGCGGGATATAAATAAAATTTATTATTATTATTATTAAAGGGACCCCTGACCATTAGGTCCAGTCGTGGCCGACTCTGGGGTTGTGGCGCTCATCTCGCTTTATTGGCCGAGGGAGCCGGCGTACAGCTTCCAGGTCATGTGGCCAGCATGACTAAGCCGCTTCTGGTGAACCAGAGCAGCACACGGAAACGCCATTTACCTTCCCGCCGGAGTGGTACCTATTTATCTACTTGCACTTTGACGTGCTTAGGGCTTCCTTATTACTTTCCTACCCTTGTATGCCTCACTTATCTCCATGTCTAACCAGGCTGCTGGTTTATGGGCATGCAATAAGAGGGGCACAGCTTTCTGTAGAAAGGTGTGGTACAACTTATTGAAATGATAAACGCATTTCGGCAATAGAACAGATGCCTGCGGAGATAAGCATATTTAAGAGAGTGATCTGTTGAAGCCTAGCAGCTGCATATGACATCTCTTAAGAGGCACAATCAACTCTTCTTAACAGATGATTCCAGTAAGAAAATATAGGATTACTAAACCATATTCCAGGCATGCAAAATACTACAAATTTTAAAACAAGGCTGAAATCTGGCTTACTGGAACAGGAACCGTTGTAGGAACTGGAACATTTTGACTACACATGTGCATAGGAACAGGTACATACACAGGAACTGGAACAGGTACAGGGATGTATTCTTTTTCCCAGCCATCATCTGAAACAAAAGACAGTATGCAGTTATAGACTAGCACGAGAAGGGTAGCATACAATCATGAGATTATAATTGTATTCCTCACAAACAATGTTGCAAAAGAAGGCGATTGGACAGCCCGTGCTTTGACTCAATAGTTTACCTGTCTGACAAGATTTCGTTTGCATGTGAGGTTTACAGTATGTTGCTTTAGTCATTGTCAGAGGTTTGCAAAGAACTGCTTTGTTCTTCATTTCTTTATTTGGTGTTGGGGAAGGAGGTGGTGCCGATCCCTGCGAATAAGGACATCAGTCAATATTAGCACCCCCAAAACAAAAGAAAGACCCCTAACAAGGGCAGGGCAATAGCCCACTCAGCTGACACTGAAGTTTCTTTAATACAGGATAAGGGACGCGGGTGGCGCTGTGGGTAAAACCTCAGCGCCTAGGACTTGCCGATCGCATGGTCGGTGGTTCGAATCCCCGCGGCGGGGTGCACTCCTGTCGTTCGGTCCCAGCGCCTGCCAACCTAGCAGTTCGAAAGCACCTCCGGGTGCAAGTAGATAAATAGGGACCGCTTACCAGTGGGAAGGTAAACGGCGTTCCATGAGCTGCGCTGGCTTGCCAGATGCAGCTTGTCACGCTGGCCACGTGACCCGAAAGTGTCTGCGGACAGCACTGGCTGCCTATAGAGTTAGATGAGCGCACAACCCTAGAGTCTGGCAAGACTGCCCGTACGGGCAGGGGTACCTTTACCTTTTTAAAGCTATAAATGGCTGCTTCTGAGAGCTCAAAATGGATTTTCTACAGTGATGTAAGAGATGTAACAAGTCTAGTGGGAGGTACCACAAAGTCCAAGCCCTGAAGGATCTTTCCTTTTAGAATAAAGCCTGCATTCTAGTGGACATGGAGGAGAGTATTCAGTGTTCTATACAACTGGCAACAAGTAGGGAGGACACCCTAAACTCTTTTACATCAGTAACTCTCTAAAATCAACCTGTGGTATCCAGCTCAGGGCCTGAGGAGTTCCACTCATGCAGTGAGACTACTCTTCCCTCCCTTCTTCCCAAGCACCCCCCAAAACTGCTCAAAGGTCCTCTCCTCCAATCTTCTGGAGCAGATTTTGAGGGTGCCTGAGGGGCTTCAGGGGAGAGGGTAGGAAAGTTCTGTTCTGCAAGCAGAACAACATTGTTGGATACAAGAAAGTACGCATTAAATTGCTGCTGAGTTTGCAAGATCATCAAAAGTTTCCTATATAATCATTAACCCACAGCAGCTTGGCCCACCCAAGACACTTCTCAGAAGTGTCATGCCATAGAAGTTGTGCTACAGAAAACAGACCTCGGTTCTCTGAACTGGCAGATGGCCAGTATAAGCCTATCAGGAGTTTTATTGTGAGCCAAAATACCAAAACAAATCCCCACCTATATTTTGTGGAATACAAGTACAATGAACGCAGCTATACAAGCTGCAATTTACTTACTGTGGTTTTTGTTCGGGGGGTTTGACAGCCCTGATCTATGAATGAGAGAAGAGAAAATTAATATAGTGCCATTTTTCTTATGCAGTTGTTATAAAAGGTAATACAAATGTTTTCAACCTCGTTGCACTACTACAGTAATAATGTATACCAGCCATGATGAACATTGTTCTGCCTTTATGGTTGGAGGCAATGTGTGTCTGAATGCCAGCTGCTGGACTCACAAGCAGGAAAGAGCTGTTGCACTGAGGTTTCCCATGGTAAGCCACAATAAGAACAGGATGCTGGACAAGATGGACCACTGGACTGATCCAGCAGGCTTTTCTTATGCCCTTAACATTGTTCAGCTAATTAACCGATTATCAAGTAGCAGGGGATCCTCCTAAGAATGGGGAAAAATGTGTCTGCTTTCATTTTTTGAAAAGACTATCCATTTTTGTCCACTGATCATGCAGGCTGACATGCTGAGCTCTAGGGTGATCCCTGCTTATCTGTGTGCACCACGTTATTGTATAGATGGCTCCAGTGCTTTATCTTAAAAGAGCTCTTTTGGAAGCTCATATTGCTTGAGTTTCCTGAAGTACATCATCTCTTTTTTATTCTGTGTTGTTAGTTACGGGAAGTATCATACCATACTGTAAGTTTTCTGGTCCTTTCTGTGTTGCCATATTAGGTTCATTTTGTTGACAGTAGAAACGTAGAAGACAGTGCTGATCGCAGAAATGTTTCATCTCTCCTCTCCACTGGACTTTCTCCCTAAGAGTTCCTTGAGTTTTGCAACAGTCACACCTTGCGGCCTTAAAAACAATTTCAATGTTGTTAACTAGAGAAAGAATTACTACCATACATGTGATATAAATACTATTCTAAAAGGTGTTTAGACTGGGCAGCTGAAAAGGGAAAATAAGTAACAGTAATACCTTTGAAATATTTTTAAGCAGCACAGTTCTACTGTGAAATTCCTTCCAAGGGAGGCTTACCTGGAGCCTTCAATACATATCTTTAGGAACCAGGCAAAAACATTCCTCTTCTCCCAGGCTATAGGCTAATTAAACAATTGATGGCTTTTTAAACTGTGTGTGTGTGTGTGTGTTTGTTTGTGTGTGTGTATGTGTGTGTGTGGAGGGGGGGAAAGCTATTTTGTTTGTTTGTTATTAAGGTATGTCTTTTTGTGTTTTTATATTGTAAATGACCCTGTGATCTTTGGATGAAGGGTGATATAGAAATATTATTATTATTATTATTATTATTATTATTATTACTACTACTACTACTACTACAACTACAACTACAATACAAAGGACCGGGCAAAAGCAAAGTGCCTGGGAGCATTTCTCTGGGAGCCTGCATGTTGGCACACCTTTAGGAAGCCGTAGTTCGGCTTTCTGTATCATGCAAACCAAATTATAGCATGTTATATAGCTGCACTTCTTTATTTATATGCATCATTTGGATCAACAATATTTTGGATAGTTTATCTCTCAATCTTCATTTCTTTTCAAGCTTTTGAATACTTATGGAATACTGCATTACCTTATAGTACCAGTCTTGAAATTTTCTACAACACTCTTCACTGCAGAAATCTCTTACTACTCCATCAAGTTCCTTAGTTGCTCCTTTTTTACAGAGCTGAGAGCAATAATTGCAAGTGACGCACCGTAATCCTAACCGCCTTGCAAAATCTTGTTTGTACAGCAGCTTGCAACCTGGAAAAAGAAAAATGACACAGACCGTTGATGAAACCTATATGATATGGGCCTCTGCCGTGGGTGTCCATGTGCACTGTATTTAAACCTATCTTTAGTTGTTGCTTGGATTATTTTTTAAACTATTTTTCATTATTCTCTTTTTGTGTATGATTCTGTATAGTTTGAGATGTGAAAGGGTATTGAAAAATGAATAATAATACAAGATAAAATATATTGATCAAATACTAATAAACACTGAAAAGCTTTTGCTCAATAAGACTTTTTTTTTTACATTAAACTTATCCAAACATATCTATATAAGATTCTCTTCCAGCAGAATACTTCCTTAAGAAACAAAATTTAGCCATGCCCCTGGCTGAAGTGGATTTGTATTAACAGGGGTTTTATCACTGAAAACAAAATTTCCTGGCTCATTATTTCATATTCTAGATGTCCATATGGTTTCAACTGAGGTTGAAGTGTGTAACTTTTTATTTTATTTTTCTGTGGTTCACTGCTCCATCTAGTGGAGATGCCATGAACAAATCCACACATTAGAATTGCGTCCCTGGTTTTATTTTGCATAGATTATAGGTTTAAATAAAGGTGCTTCCTAGCCATATATGACAATCCAATAGCAAAGACATTCAAGGGCTTTAGACTGTTTTATATACCATCTCAGCAAAATTCCCAAATAGTGGTTGGTCTGAATGGTCCGAAAAGGAGAATACACTGAAACCTCAAAATCCACTTACTTTTTAAAGGCCACCTTGATCTTGCTGTTCCCCCCAAAAAACAACAACAACAGAAAAAGGCCAGCTTTTTTGCACTGTGTTGCAAAAGATGCACAAACCCCCAGGGCCACCCCAAGATTTGCTGCCTGAGGCTAAAGTTAGAATGGTGCTCCTACCATACCATGTACAGAAGCTGACTGGACTAGCAATTAATCCTATTGAGGTGAAGGACAGTTCATGCAGCATAAACAGTTCTGTCCTCCAACAGCAGGCTACAACCAGGGGACCAGGAGGAATATCCTGCCACTGTCCCCTAAACATTTGCCACCTGAGCTGGCCATCTCACTCTGCCTAATGGCAAGCCCTGTCTTGTCCTCTGTTCTTTTCCCAGATAATGCTAGCAGGTGGGGAACGAATGTGGAAAAACATAGGCTCAGGTTTCCTGTATCAGAAGCTGTTTCTACAGTACAGTGTGTGTGTGTGTGTGTGTGTGTGTGTGTGTGTGTGTGTGGACATGCAGTGGACAAGAGTTAAGGCATTTTTGTAGCATGTGATGCAATTTGCTGGTCTATATTAGATTTTGCAATGTACTAGATGTGCAAAATCTAAACAAAAAAATAAATTCAATTGATTCAAGCAGTAGTACACTGGGGGTGGAATCTAATGCTGCACAAATGGACTCATGCTCACACAAGGAGCCCCCCCCCGCTTCTTTCGTCCTCCTTGCAACGCCCCCAAATCTGCCCCTAAGGACCCTCCACAGAATATACTGAGGGCAAGCAAAAGGCTGCAGGGGGAAGGACAAGAAGGCGAAACCTTGGAAGTCCATTTGGCTTCCATGCGGACAGCATTGGATATTGGATGTTGATATTACTCAGCCATGAGTCTGTCTAAGTATCAGATGACAAAAACTACCTCAGATCAAATAAATGGCAGGCTACGGCCTACTGGCTCCTTCAGTTAGGCCCCAGACACATCCCAAACTGGTTCACGTGTTTTTGTAATGTTGAAATACTTAAATACTACGTTTACAAATGACAATATTGGTAGCAATATGCACCAGAGAGACACAACACACCTTCACTACAGAATGGTCTCTTGATACCAGAAAATTTCACCGTTTCATGCAGAGTCTTCTCCTCTTGACAGTATTCACAGTATGTTACTATACAATGTAGTTTCTTATAATCATCAGAACAAATTTTACTGCAGAACTGATACACTTTGTTCTAATGGAAAAAATACCACAGAAGATAAATGGGCAAGTTAGAAGACTTCAAACAAAAAAGGCAAAAAGTTACATTAGCTTAAGACATTTTATCCAAAGAAAAGAAATCCTTATTCACGAGAAACTTTACCCTTCAGGAAAAAGCCTATGTGTTTGTTTTTTAAAGCAAAGGAGAATCCGCTTGACTATTAGTTCTTTAAAATGTCAAATCATCCAACAATATCAAGAATATGACATATTAAGGCTTTTATAGTTTGACTAATAAAAGTAAGAACTGTGTTTTTTTTAACCAAGGATTGGGCAATGTTGCTTGCTGGGCACAGTTGCCAGATTAGCAAAAGCCATTCTATAGGAATACAGAGGGCAGAGCTGTTTATATGTATTTTCAAATTAATGTTCTGCAGCTAACTTGCAAAGCAGACTTTGCACACCCACAGCAAGTTCCAGCAGCAGTAAGAGCTCCAGCTGGTTTGAAGAACTAGGGTGTCTTTGTCCATTCCACCCCATTTCCTAGGAGCAGGATAAATAGTTCTCCACACTCCTCTCAGAATACCACAAAGTATTTTACGTACAGCCATGCATGCACAAACAAACAAACAACATTTTCATGGGAGGAAAACCAAAGGCTGCAATGTGAGCAGGGCATTGTTTTCTACATTGGGTTTTTCTCCCGTCTATCTAATAATTTAGAATACATGGGTGATTTACAACTTATAAGAAACAGATACAGTCATGCATTGGGCTAAATATGCTTCAGGATAAGTATTTTCGGGTTGCGCTCCACGGCGACCCAGAAGTAATGGAGCACGTTACTTCCGGGTTTCGCCGCTTGCGCATGCGCAGATGGTCAAAATTATGTCACGCACATGCACGGAAGCGGCAAAACACGACCCTTGCAGACGCGTCTTACGTTGTATTCAGGATGCGAACGGGGCTCCGGAACAGATCCCGTTTGCATCTCGAGGTACCACTGTACTAGAAAACAAGACACTGTGTGCCTGAGAGAAAGAACTGGCAGTAACTGGAATTGAACCATAGATGTCTGGAATGTGTTGGTCATCAAGAATGTATTCCTTTTCTTTTGTCCTAACAGTTTCCCCATGAATCCAACAACTCACACATAATTTGAATAATAAAATAAAATTGGGGTGGAAGATCTGGAGCTGAAATGTCTGCAATGCTAGGTCCGCCTTCTTAGGGAGGGTTTTTCATAGCTGAGGCACCGCTATAGAAAATGCCCTTTCCTTGGTAGGTATTAAGTGTATCTCTACTAACGAGTGAATTTTACATAGTCACTCTAGAAGGCCTTAAAGAATGAAAAGGCTGGTAACATTCAACTAGGATTATTAAAGAAATATTAAACAGCGACTTGGGTGGGCTATAAAGATTTTAAATACATCAATAAAGTATCAACAACATTTTATGTTCAATACAAGAGGTACATATCCCATTTTGATATAATTTACTTACTTCCCATTCCAGTACTTCAGGCTTTGAGCAGAAAGTATTTTTGCAATAATTGCATTTCAACTGAATATCACTTGGAGCCACAAACTGGCCATTGGTTGAAGACTGTACACTAAGAGTCTGAAAAATATTTTTAAAATATACAGATCAAATTCCTCCACTGTTAAGACACAGTACAAAAGTGAGAATCATAGCATTGTAGAGCTGGAAGTGCATTACTGCATTTGTTAAAAAGAATTAGTGAGAATATGTGCTATTATGAAGAGGGTTTTCCTTGAAACGGCTTCTGCTAAATTTCACATCCTCTATATAGGATCATTCACAAAGTTTCTGAAGCTCACTTTTACTGTTTATACAGTCATCGATGGACATGACAACTCAGAGCTACATAGAGAAGCAGGTGTCAAAAGAGCCTCCAACACAACAACAGCAAAAAGGGACAAGAGGGAAGCAATGATAAATATGAACACTGGGTGCTCTTTGGCTTCAGTCCAGCTGGGGAAGGTTAAACCAAAGGCTTAGCAAAGAAGGGAGAGAAAGGTGTAAGGGGAAGCATAGGAGAATGAGTGAAGCTGTGCAAGAGAGAACTTTAGGCAGCAGGTGGTGATGGACGAACAACATTCTCTAGTAGAAATATATCAGGAGACAACAGTAGACAGTTGAGATGGGGCAGGCCCATGGAGAAAGGTGGAGAAAGAGTGTGTGACGTCTCATGATCTAACTCCCTCTCACTATGTCACTGCATTCTCAACCGTTCACTGTGCTCAGCCTACAGAACCCATTTGGCTACACTGCCACACGAACACCGAGATACACATTCACACACACACACACACACACACACACACACACGAGGAGGCATTAAAAGCATAATCACTACTGTCAAGGCAGAGGTCTTTATGACAAGATGCCAATGAAATACTAGTCAGGTCTATGCACTTAATTATTACAATTATTTACATCCTGTCTTTTAGGACACAAATCCTTCCAAGCAAATTTACACGAAACATAAAGAAAGATTACTAAAAGCCACATTAACAATATTAAAATATAACACTTCCTGGAGACCCTTCACACGGGGCACTTGGTGGCAGAAGGCCCTCTGGGTTGGGGGCAACTGGAGTGGTCCTGATGAATCCTTTGACTAGCTAACCTCTTTCACCTATAATGCTTTCCAAAGAGCACATGGCCTTGAAGTAAAGAGAAGAAAATTCAGCTTGTGCAGAAGCAGATATGAAACCTGTGGTTGAGCTAACCAGTTAGGCAGGCCTAAGGGCCTAATTTGGCCTGTGAGGCCCTTCTTCCCACAGCCATAGCCCCTCCACCTGATGTCTTACAGCTGAGGTGAAGGGAGAGACCAACAGCACAAGCGCACACATGCTCCGTATCAGCACAACGTCCAACAAAGAGGAGAGGAGGACCAGGAAGAAAACAGCTCACAAAAAGGGAAGGCAGGCTAATGAAAAACACAGAGTTGATTTAGAACCCTAAAGGAACCCAACTGTCTTCAACCACAGGCAGGGAGAGTTAGCTGGACAACAAGATGACTCCTGCCCCTGGAGAGGTAGCAAAAGGCTTTCTGGACCCTGCCTGGCCTGTAGTCAAGCTCCATCCCACATCCCTTCAAAAGCCGACAAAACAAAGGGAGAGAGAGGTTGAGCAGAACCACCCATAAGTACAGGTAGAAGCAACAGGGAGAAACCCTTTCCACAGTAAGCATCTAGATAAGTCAAATCTTCCAGAAAAGGCTACCCCAAGGTCTTCAGACCATCCCAATTGATAAGAGCAAATAAAGACTGTATTTGATGGGTGGTGGTGATAGTGAACAGCAGAATCAAGCAGACAGTACTCCATTAGCAAAGCACACAATGTATGTCATTTGTCTCTGCAGCCTGTGTATTCCTTTGACTCAGTCTCCAGCTCCAACTCCCAATTAATTTTCATTTAGCACATCTTTTAAAAATCCAAACAGAGTATCACTAAAAATCAGTTCTCTCCAGAAGTAGTTCTGTTTGTGATTTAACTTTCACTCAACGTGCCACTCAACTTTCACTTTAACGTGCCACTCAAAACCTACTACTTTAATTTTATATCAACTTGGACTGTGGCGAGGGAATAGTGCGGGGTGGGGTGGGTGATATCAGTGGCAGAATAGGATGTGTATTTAACTGAAGAGCAACAGGAGGCTTGAATGTTTGAGCCAAACTGTAAGCCACATGGATAGGACCTTTGGGACCACAGAAGCTCTGAGGCCTTTCAGATATCACCTAGACATATATACAGGTAGCTTTAGAATGCAGAGAGGTGTTAAAGGTTAACACAACATTTCCACTGGGAGAATGTGGGGTACACAAAGTCATTGGAAAGATAGGTTTCTTGGGATACACGTCTGTTTGGTCTGCAAGCCTAATTTTATTTGTATTAATGTGATTCTGACATATCGTCTAATCTTACAGATATGCTAAACTCAACATGGTGCACATACCTGCAACACCCAATTATCCCAAATTGTGGAACAATGGAGTCAACAGGAAGCAAGCGTGTCTGAACACCACAAAATGCAATCGGGTTCCATAGTTTACATCAGTGGTGGCCAAACTTGGCCCTTCAGCTGTTTTGTGACTATAATTCCCATCATCCCTGACCACTGGTCTTGTTAGCTAGGGATGATGGGAGTTGTAGTCCAAAAACAGCTGGAGGGCCAAGTTTGGCCACCACTGGTTTACACCATATGGGAATCATTTATATACACTCAACAGTTTTAATTCAGTGTACTGAGAATTAAAACCAATGCCAAAATTGCCTATTTTGTTTCTTGCATAACCAGCTATATTAAGTGAATGCTCTATGTGTAGTTCTCATACTTGTGTGTAGCAGATCGGGCTTAAGTTACTCGCTTTGGAGGTATAACATGAGAAAACTAATTGTTAGCTACTACTTCTGTGACATAATGTTGGCTAACTTGGAAAATATACAGTGGTACCTTGGTTTACAACCATAATCTGTTCCGGAGGTCCGTTTGTAAACCAAAACAGGTTGTAACCCAAGGCGTGCTTTCGCCAATGGGGCCTTCAAAAAATTTTTGTTCATAATCCCCCCCCCCCAATGGGTTGCAATCCAAAAAAAGGTTGCAAACCAGGACATGCACTTCCGGGTTTGACGTGTTTGTAATTCAAAACGTATGCAAACCAAGACATATGCAAACCAAGGTACCACTGTATCTGACCTGTAAATTTTCCATCCATCCAGTGAAAATGAGGGCAGTTCACATCTGCAGATTGCCTTCCCTTTCCATCGGATAAGAAGCAGTATTATTAGCCAGCTACATCAATTTTGGAGGGATTCTGAAACATGTTTTTAAATACCACATGGAGTTTAGTCTGGACTATGGAAAAGGGGCTGATTTGTTGAAAAGGGTCAAAAACATTACCAAGCTGGAGTTCCCACGAGTGAAAGGAAAATATGAAGAAGAGCCGCGGAAGGGACATGAAAGAGACTTAAGGACCTCAGATATAAGGTTACCAGGTTAATGTGCTAGATTAATGGGATAAAAAGTACTGACAAAACCCGGGACCAGGAGGAAGGGATGCTGGATGAAGATTGGATTGTTTTTATTTCTTTTTTTTATTACTAGGATTGTTTTATAAAATTGATGAATGTTAGAAAAATGTTGGAATGAAATTACTTGGCTCTAGAAAAAATGTTTAAAGAATTAGGTAAGAATATTATGGTTATGAGAAGTTGGTAAAAATAAGATTTAAGTTTTAAATTTCAAGGTTTTCTATAAGATAAGATGAAAATAGATTAAGGTAATGTAATGACAGAATATTATGAATTATGGAAAGGATTTGCTGCGATAATTATTAACTAGGGTACAAAAAAAGGGAGGAGGAGGAGGTCAAAGAAAGAAGGTAATGAAAGTTGAGGATTTGAGAATGATGGATTTATTTATTTTTTATTTTTCTGTTTTGTCTTTTTCTGTAATTCTAAAAATTTTTCAATAAATATCATTTAAAAAAAAAAAGAGCTGTCCAATTCTTCCTTCTTCGTATACGTAACAAGGTCACCCCAAGAAATGAACCGTGTTAGGACAACAACGCAAGCAGCAAAAGAGGTTGAGTAGACTAACCCACATACACAGTTTGGATCAAATGTGGGGAGGGGGAATTAATCTACCTTGAGCCCTTAGAGGTAGACTGAAATGTAGGCTAGAATTGTTAAAAAAAATACAAAGTAGTAAGTAAAGCACAGCTAAAAGGTGAGTCTAGTAGGTACAGATAGCATGCAAGAAGGCCAAGAACACAAACTGGTTTGTTTCTTTTTACTGTTTTGCTCAGTTTTCAGATAAAAGATGCATCTGGTTTACATGAAAAAGGAAGCAGCCAGGGTTACAGGTACAGATAGAGATGTAGGTCAAACATATTCTAGCCATTTTGAAATGAACTATCAGTGTGTACATAGATACCAATACAGATTTGCAAATTGAGGCTTCAGTCTTGGTGACTCAGAAAAGCAAGAGTTTGCCCGATTCTAAGTATTATAAGCAAAGGTATATTCCACTTGATGGAACTTCTTTCTGGAATATTCTAAGAACTTTCCAGGACACACGACCAGTTTATATGTTAATAGGCCAATGTCAAATCTGGAGATGAAATCAGGTGGCTCCTTACACATTTTATTATTAACTTGGACAAAGTTTTAAAAAACCAGTGAAGTTATCAAGTTTGTAAGAAATGGATACAATCTAGTCAAAGCTAAGCTGTATTAAGATCAAGTCACTCTCCTGCTAAAGACACCTAAATCTTTCCCACCAAAATCAACAGGGCCTTTTCCTTTTCTGAACTTGTTTTATTAAATTTCAAGTATAAAAAACATACAAATAAACCCCCACAGATAAATACAGCATATCATGTCTGAACAAATTCAATTCTCCAATAAAAGTGCCCATCAAATAAAGCATCTTTCCACAGATCGTCATGAGAGGCTTGTACTCTTTAACCATGTACTTTTGTCATAGCGTATCTTAATAAAACTGAATCAAACAGGAAAAAACTTGTCAGACTTCTTGTTATGTCTTATCACTGTAGTTTGTTGGTTAATTTTTCCATCTGAAGGCCTCCTAATTATTGAAACCAATTTCCATTACCCTTGTGTTTAGCTATCTCCAAATTTTAGTTATAGTTAATCTAACTGCTGCTATCAGGTGAGTAATCACTTCAGCGTTATGAAATATTTTTATCCAAAAATTGCTAGAACTCTGGGCAGGAGGGCTACATATAGAAAAGGGAACCTAATCTCCGATAATTTGATAGTTGACTGCATTTGTTTTGGCAATCCTACTTAACAGAAGTGGGTGCATATACCAGCAGTGCAGAAGTTTTTAATGCATTTTTAAGTGCTCAAGCAGATGACGAGAGAAACCGAGCTTTACCCTGCATGTGTTCCCAATGAGTACTCCTTATTATTGTACCCAGGACACAAGCCCAAAGGGCCTTTAAGGAAGTTAGAGGTTTCTTTGAGGTCTGGACCAAAATATTCAACATTTTTGACAGAAGGCCTTTATCCAAATGATCTGTGGTATAAATCAACTTTTCAAATCGTGTCATAGGTCAGAAACATGTAGAACCTGATGGATGTTAATCCAATTATATGGAATCTCAGACAGTTTTAGTTGTGGGAAGAAAACAGCTGACTTCTACCCATTTATTTAATTGCTTGCTAAGCTTTTCACTTGCCATTTTATTTAAAGTAATGAATAAAAATTTCCACTCCCAGTGAACAAACCCTTTGGTGGCATCCAGGGCTAAAATGGCTATAGGCAATGGATGATTTTGTCCAAAATTAATTGCATTCAACATTAGGCAACTGAGCGTTGTCAGGTGAATTCTTTAATAATGATGAATACAGTTAGATATGATCACAGCCCATCTCTTTACCAGGATGTTTAGTACAGGCACTTATTTAAAGGGCGGGGTGATGTGGTTCAATGGATTTAAAATCCTTCAAAAGTTTAGGAATCATAACAATTTTCAAAGTATCTCGAATTTGCCTGTTGCTTTATTTGTTTAAAAATGTTAACAATAAAGAAGCCAATTGGTCTTGGAAGGTTTTAGAGAAGACAACAGTTTAGCCATCTGGTGGTTTAAATACATTTAGTTTTCTTTATGCCCACCTGAGGTTCTTCAATAGAGAGGAGTTGGCTTAACATTTTTCTATGATTAACTGTGGAAGAGATATTTTATCTATAATTTAAATTAATTAATGCTCCTCTGGCCATTGCCTTAAGAATTTCCTTTGGTGGCCTTTCAACAACTACTGACTTGTAGTAATCCTGAATCCATTTCCAGTGGATTATTTTCCCAGATCAAAGAAGTGAACAAAGGAATATGATCAAAGTGTGCATCTTCCCAATATTGGAGGAGTAGACCCAAAAGGACCACATCTCTGAGATCAAGAGGCAGGCTATAAGAAAGTGTCCTATTAACTGGAAAAACAAGAGTAATCATGTTAACTGGAAAAACAAGTGTAATCATGTTTCTCTTGGTGGAAGTTGTATGCATCATATCAAAGTGTATTTTTTTCAATAATTAATATAGCAGAGTTTCAGTAGAGGGTGATGTATTTTTCCCTTTAAGTATCTTTTTACTTCTGTCAAAATATTCATTTAGTATGAAATGAAGATCGTCTCCAAAGGCCATCCATTCCTGTTTAAAGGATTCTTGCTATAAAAAAGTGTCTTTTTCAAAAAGAGTATTTGCTGTTTATCGGGGCAATACACTGAACCTGTAGTTAACCACTTCTCACAATTGTTGGCATGTACCCATTAGTCCCATACAAGTAACAACCCATCACCTACAACTTCCCCTTCCCCTGAAACTCAATGAGTTTCAAATGCAGTGGGAATCAAAGGGGAAGGGGAAAACTCCCCACTCCATGGATCTAACAGTAAAGAAATTAGCGCTGAAGTTTTATGCTGAAGTTAAAATGATTGTTTATGCAATGTCAACAGAATGGTCACATAAAATCCCAAACTGAGCAGGTTCCATCTGGGATAAATTCTGGCCATTTCTTCTTTGGGGAAACCTTTCTGTCTCTTTGCCACTAGGTCAAAGCTCTCTTGATCTGGATCCCTGCTTTCTTCATCAGCTTCTTGTGTTCACTGCTCCAATTCAGGCTGCAATTCCAAATGCTGTAAAAGCTTTCTAGATTCCATTCTGGATTACTATTAACTTACAATGGTAACTCTAAATCTCTGCATTAAGTCATTTTTTACCAAGTATTTGGAAAAACGCACTACAACATCCCTAGGGTTCTTGCCTTTTTTTTGTTTGGAACAAAGTGAACTGTGTAGGTTTTCTATATCCCCTGGTTAAAGATTCACCTCGGGAGCAGCTGACATATCTGTGCTATAAAAGCTTCTTGCAAACTTTGCTCTCCAGGTTCCTCGTGGATTCCCCCTGGCCCTAATATTCAGGCAGCAATCTTGATCCTGAATGTCTTCTAGCTGTAGCTTTAAGTCAATTTGTGGGGGTTTCATTACCTCAATGGCGGCTTTGTTCTTGAAGCTGAGTTCCATTGCCGTGCTTGCTGTCACTGAGATCTCTGTTAAGTTGCTTGCCTATTTAGCAATGTCACCTCTAAAGAGCTGGAGGACTTCATCCAATTTCTGGTGAGGTTAGGAGACAAGGGTTGCCATGGTGCTGGACTCCTTGATATCCATATTTTTCCTTCCTAAATCTCATTCTGGGGTAGCTTTGGGAAGCAGAAATGATGGGGAAAGTAGGTCCAAATATCTTTTCTGTTCCCATGCAGCTTATGTGGCATATCATATCTGGGAATATTTTCTTTTTTCTAGCATTCATAGCTAACAATTGCATACTTAAGACTAATAATCCCAGGGCACAAAGGGTCATCAGGGTTAAGACACCATCTTGCAATGATGATTTCGCCATCCTCCAAATTTACAATTTCTATTTCATTTACAGAAAACAAAGTAGGCAAAAGGTCAGGAAAGCAACAGAGGCTCGAGGCCCATTCAACATCAAGTCTCACTGGCTTGTATCAAATCTGGATGGTGTAGACACAAGCACATTTGGTTATTTTAAGTAAAACTGGCATAACATTCAAGAATAAGCAGCAGGCCACTTGGAGGCCACTACCAAGTAGCATAAACAATTGCTCCCTCTTTTCTTATTTAAAAACACTTACTGCTTTTAAAATGGAATGGGGATTAAGGTATTCAGAACTCTGTCGCTTATAACTATGCAACGTGAATACATATCAGCCTTATTACATGTACGCTGAGGCTTCAAATGTCACTCATATGGGATGAACAGCCAGCAAACAGTGCATTGGAAACCAATCCAATTGTTCTGTGCAGTGTAATTCTTAATCTCTCAAAGAAGCACAATTACATAGGTTGCCAGTCAATGCCAAATTAAACATTCGGTTTTTCTTGCAGCCCAAAGGAGAACTTAAGCCCAACTCTCACTCACATTGAGATAAGATATTAAAACTTACTCCCTGTCTCTCACCAACTTCTAAACATGGGATGATATAAATGCTTCCTATTACAGTATGCAGAAATGACCCAGGAATTCCTGTGGTTATCTGAAACTAAGTTTAATACACAGGGTCAAAGTTGATCTTGTGTTCAAGTAACCATGGGTTGTCCCAATGCAGGTGGTGACCTGCTTACAATCTCACTTTTCTTAGTGCAAGGGAATGGACATTCAAATAACTCTCACCATAATTCTGGAAATTACTGAGAAGTGCCAAAATTTGACCAGGTACATTAGAAGCCCCACTTGTTTAAACGCATATTCATAAAGAGTAGTTTTTAACAATGAGTAGGTAGGAAATTATTTAATATGAACATACTAAGAGCACCTAACAGGCATGCACAGAAAAATACATATCCAGGGAGGAAGAGATTTAACACAACAGCTAACCTGAAATTTAGCTACACAACTCGAACTGCAAAAGGTGTACAGTATTCCATCAGGCATTGTGGCTTGATATTGAGGTAAACAGTTTCGCTTACAAAAGTGGCAAACAATCCCCATACCTAAAAGAAAAATGTAGTTTACAAATAAAATAAATGCAAATGTACAACGTTATGAATAACAAGTTGGTGTTTCTCAAAATCTGCATCAATGGCTGCGTTCATATCATCTTATCTTGGCTTAATAAACTGAGTATTTTAGCTGGGAATGCAGCCTCTTTGCTACTCAAGCAATCAATCCAGGAAATCTCTATTTTCCCACTTTACTTGAACCAGGAGACTACAGTTACCAGCCTTGGAAGACACCAGGTGTTTTGAAGCTAGAAACTATAGTTTCTTGGTTCAGATGAAAACAGAATCTATGGTTAATTACAAGCTTCCTCACAGTGTTGAAGGAGGAACAAATCATCTTGTTCATATCATGGCATTGTAAGATGATCAGATAATCATCTGAACCAAGCCAATGTGAAAGCTCTACTTAAATAGTTTGTTTTTAAATACAGATATAATTACAAACACTTTTTATGTAAATCATGCCTCAGTGTATTATTTTGGTGGGGTTACAAAAAATGTACTTGCACTTTTTCAGACAAATTCAACTGATTTTTAACCATCTCCATCTATTTTGCAAGGAAGAACACAATGCACTTTTGCTAGCAATGTGTGTTCTTTGATCATCGACTCCAACAATATTCCTCTGTCATAAAATAAAAGCTTCACAATGAATTTAAGACAAAAATAGATGCAATGGAAGAATTAAGAGTAGCTAAATATTAAAAGTCTTTATAGCTTTTGTATGTGACCGATAAACATTGCTAATGTTATTTTATGTGCTAAATGTAATCTAGGCATCAACTAATTTAAAATAATTTTTCCCCCAAAGGAAAATCAGATAGAAACCATAAGTGAAACAAGAGTCTCCTACTTCGGAAAATTATTTTATCATCATGGATGAAAACACGCCAACCTTTTCACTTACTTTCTGATTTTGCATGTTTTGATTTGTGTGTGTTCATGCATGCAGTTGAGCAGTATGGCTCCATATGTCCATTAGGTCCTATGCACTGTGTCATGTCAAAAAACCTGCACTGAACTCTGCAACCAGTACAAGCTGTTAATTTGCCATATTTCTAAAAAGCAAATAATGAAAAAGTAAAAAAAAACATTAGTTATGACTTAATCAGATTGTCTTATTACAACAGGCATACAGAAATTTTCTAGTATCCTCTCAAAAGCTCAGCTACTGTTACAGCAAGGCCAAGTCACCACACACAGGATCCCTATGCACATGTATTTTACAGAATGTAGAACCCACATACAAGAGAGATAGCACCCACCCACCCCTGTCTATGCCAGTTCCACCTCATGAACATGCATTCAACATAATCTGCAAATTGTGTCTGCTTATGTGAAGCAATCTGCATACAGGCCTGCCCATGCTATTTTTATTCCAGAATGTTTATGGGCAAGGATGACAGGACTTGGGTTCATGTGTGCAGTCTCCATGTGAATGCAAAGCAGGTTTAGATTTTTTTTAATCACCTAATCTATGTAACTTAATTTGCCCTTTTCACAAATGTCATACACTGAGTTAACATCTACTATAACCACTGGCTAATTAGGTAGGAAATGATCAAAGGCAATTAATTTATTTAGGAGGAAATTCAGTTATAACCCAATATGAACTGACTGACTTACATGCAAGGGAACAATGTCTACAGGGGACAAGACATACTTCATTTTCCTACCATGGGGTAGCCAGGATGCTGCCCCGCCAGATGTTGCTGGACTAAAGCTCCCATCCCTGACCACTAATCATGCTGGTTGGGACTGGTGGGAGTTACAGCCCAGCTACAACTTGAAGGCACCATGCTGGGTACCTTGCCCCATGCTATCTAGTACTATGGGAGCAACTCACAGTACCATGTGAGTAATTTCTGCCTCTGCAACAGGAGCCTCTAAAACCTGCTTTTCACTCTGAAACCACCCAAGAAGTTTTTCCCACCAAGAGAAATGACAGGGAACAATCAAACCTAAACCTAAACCTGAACTTGATCAGTGGAAAGTATGATCTTATTTGAGTCTTCTTTAAATACCAATCAACATGTTCTAGACTTTCTTCTGCAAAACGCAGAAAGTTTCAGACTCATTTAATCTGAGTTTGCGCTTGCTTAGACAACCCATGAAAGAGAAAGTCTTCCTTTAAGATTAGTTAGTCGCTGTAGTACTGCTGGTGATTAATGGGGAATCTAGCTAGAACAGCCATGATTTCATATCTGTTCTGAGGATGTTCCGACAGTCTCACAAGGCCATCTGCTGGCAGTCTTACTATCTGAAAGTTGATTTACAGAAGCTGCCTAAAGAGTCTGGAGGAAAATGTCTGCTTTCTAGACAAATGGTTTCTTTGTATTAAGTAAGATAGGAATTTAACTGTGTTTTGTATAGAAACACAGCTTTGAAACATGCAAAGGGTGTTTCCATAACCATTCCTTAAACAGTACATCCTCCAGATGTAAGTGGCAAGAGCTCTTGGGATCCGGAGAAGCAAAGGGAAGCAGAAAGGTTGATGGACGAGGCCTTCAAGGACAGAGCAGCTTTTCATTTTCAAGGCGAAAGCTCCTCTGCAGTCCTAGTGAATATTGGGGCATGAGGACAGCACTCTAAGAGGAAATGTTCCATTAGAAGTGACTCATTACTGAGGGGCTAACATATATCCTGTCACAGTGAGAGTATCCCTATGGGGACAGGCTCCTTGTTGTAGGTAATTCAATCATCAGAGACCAAGATACCTAGATTTCTGGTGGATACAGTGACTTTTCGGCCTGGTATGAAGGTTCCAGGTATCATGCAGTCTGGCAAAGTATACTGGGTGGGAACCAATGGTCCATATTGGCACCACTGACACAGGGGAAGTAGTCCTATGGTCCTGAAAGTCAAGCTTAAGTTGCAAGGCAGGAGATCGAAAGTCAGGGCCTCCAGCAGTCTTCTCTGAGATACTACCTGTCCCACATGCAGGGCCAGCTAGGAAAGCCAAGCTGTCTGAAATATGTAAATGAGACAGTGGCATAAGGCATGGGTGACTGAACTGTAGCCCTCCAGATATTGCTAAACTATAACCCTCATCAAACAGTGGCCAATGGCCCGGAATGATGGGAGTTGCAACTCAGCAACTTCTGGTGGGCCATGGGATAGTAACTGCTTGTATAGGGAGTTTAGACTTGTTAGCCACTAGAGAACATTTTGCTACAACCAAAACTGTAGATTGAATTAGAATGCTAGTGCTTAACAGCAAGAATGTGGCAAAGCAGTTTTTATACTGACCCCTTGGGGAAAACCAACAGGAGCTGTAAAGCATCAGTTTCACGATCCATCACTCCAAGGGAATGAGGGTTTTTGATGACCCAAATAGGGGTGGGGTGAAAGTAGGTCATGCAGAGGGGAAGGAGAAACTTATTGATCAGCTACTGCAACTGTTGCGGTCAAGTCTGTTTCTCCCTTGCTCTGCCCAATGGACTCCACTGTAAAATACAGTGCCGGCACAACAGAATCTCTCCTCATGGAAAATAACCAATGTGCATCCTCAGTTCAGTTGTTTCCCCTAGACCTTTTATCTTCATGAAATGGCTACAAGTCACCCAGGTCCCCTCCTTTTATCTGAAACGTGGAAGGCCTCCTCTAAAAGAGTATCTTCAATTTGTAATGGGATAGGATGTGGGTGAATAAACTGAAGTTCCATCTAGCAGAAATTATGGTTGGAAATTTGAACAAGCAGCAATCTGGGAAACTGCCTGTTCTGGAAGGGGGAGTCATATCACTCATGTTTGCAGTTTGGAATGCATCTGAGTCCTCCTCAGTTCCAGGATACCTGGGATGTGCCAGTGGTCCAAAATGCTTTTTAACAGTCTGGGTTGGTAGGCGAACTGCAAAGACCATCCAGAAACTTCAATAGGTCCGTACATTGATGGATTTGCGCCACTATGATTATAACATTTATTCTGAAACAACTTCATTGGTTACCATGATGTTTCTGACACTAATTTAAGGTGCTGGTGACCTTTAGTATCCAGAATAGTATGACTCTCATGGGCAACCTTTCCCTTTTGAACAACCCATCATCACCCATAATTACGACTGGCTAAGGAAGCACAGACCCTTATACCAGTGGTTACTGACATTAGGTTGACATCTATAAAAAACACACTATTTAGTGTGGTGGCTTCAGAATCATGAAATTCCCTCCCCCCAAAAAATGATATGGCATGCCCCTTTCTGGTGTAAACCATCTTACATTTAAGCACACTTCTGAAAGGCTAGTTGAGGGTTCTTAGCTATCTGTGATATAGAGGGGAGTGAAACCTCATCCAAACCAGATTGAGCACCACCTAGCTGGGCAGACAAACCACCCCCCAACAATATTCATGTCTTCCCTGTACCAAGTTTCAGTTTACTGGCCCTCAGCCACTACAAACCCAAGCACCGCTCACAATTCCCACAGCCTCAGTTGGATTAGATGAAAAGGAGATGTAAAACTAGGAATCATCAAAATACTGGTGACACCCAATCACCAATCAGCTCATACCCCCAGATTATCTCTCCCAGTGACTTAGATGTTAAATATAGGAACCATGTAGTAAAAAGTACCAGAGAACTTTGTGTGAAAGTAAGACACTTTCCCATGGCCTTTTCACAGTTAACTTATTTTGTTTTGTGGGACCCACCTTCTTTTGTTGAATCTATGTTCCCCTTTTTTTTGTTTGAACAATTTTACTTGTTTTTATAATTGTATTTTTGTAACCCGCACTGCAATCTTGCGGTAAAGGGTGGATAAGAAATCTTATAAATACAGCAAAAAAGCATATGAAAGTTAAGTTAGATACAGCAATGTGTTTTATACACAGAAGAGCTTTTGGAAGCAGAAAGAGTTAGCCGTGGTGAGAAGATTAAAGGAAGGGAGAAAGTTGCTTACTAAAGGAACAAAAGAAAAACAAAGGTACAAGCAGTTTTGTAAGTAAGGGGATGCCTTAAGGTAGGAAAAAAGCCTACAAGCAGAATACGAATTAAGAATTCAGGTGTTACTTTTAGGGTTCACAGATCTAAACAGCAAATAAAGTTACCACTCTCCTGCAAGACTCATTCTGACATTTTTAGAAGCATCTGACTACAGAAGATACGTACTCTATGTATTTGAATTTCAAGTAAATTAAGGCATTAGGCTCTTTCATCTCTGTTACATTACTGTTTCGTGTGCCTTGAAGATTAATATTATTTACTCGTTCAAGCAGACACATGACATGTTCATTAGAGCATTCCTTCTTTTACCACTTTTCACTGTTGCTGCATGTTCCTTTGCTCAAAATGAAAAGCCTACCTTTTGGCAACAAAGTTTACTTGTTTGATTCTATACAACTACCTCCTCTGAAAAGCGTGACAGATAAGCGCTAACAGGTAAAGTAGCAGCAAAGAAAGTAAGGAGCAAAAACTAAAAGGACATGCCCTGAATTATCAACCACTGAAGAAAAAGAGATAGAAATCATTGAGGTTTAGCTACCATAAAGCAATGCAAACAAAACGAGTCAATTACAGACAGCAGCCAAAACTGCAATATTCTGTTTGTGGTCTAAGTGCAGTTTCATGAATTACTTTGCCAGATACAGTATTAAAAATATTTGTATTAGAAAACCCATGTGCACTGCAGTGTGTGTCATTCCAAATACACAAGAAGATCATGCGACTGGATTCTGGAAACACATACCAGAATAAAATCTGTAAACTGCTTCACTCACTTATGTAGTGCAGACACCTTTACTGACGCATGTATTAACACACAGCCGTAATGTCCATCAGGAGTGACTGGTTAGCAGCTGAAGTGTAAAGAGTGAATGCTCAGCTGTATTGCGATAGTATCTATGTGCAAACTCAGCAAAACCCTCACAGCGATTGACATAAAATGGCAACATGTTCCTTGTGTTACGGAAATGCATTCAGCAAGGCATGTTAAATCATCTTTATAGCATCACTTCTGCAGCACACGCAGGTCCTAGACTTCTTGGAGGAACTGCTTCTCCAACCCATCACCTAATAACCTGGAATTTTTAGACACTTTCTGCATTTCCTTTTTCTCCAAACCGCCCCCCCCCCAATGTTTTCTGCTCCTTTTAGATTCAATGGCTAAGGAAGCAGTCTGCATGTGTTGTGTGTTTGAGTTTTGGAGATAAAATTGATATTACTTTCCTCTAGGCCTGCTGGATTCTGAACAGACTCCTGGACCTTTAACAACTGCATGGCTTCTTCTCAGTGACAAATATGGGAAAAAGGAATCAAGACAAAATGTACCTGGCAAAGTTCTCCAGTAAAGTTGCACAGAAAAAAACCCCCCTGCATAGTGCAAGACCAATGCAGCCCTAGGTTTCTGTTATGTTGCAGCAGTGCTTTCAGGCCTACAATAGCTGGACATCAATGATACAAATGGATGGCCAGTTGAACTCATGTTATCATAATTGAGCTTCTTTCATTTATTTATTTATTTGCTTCATTTCATATCTTCTTAAACACTGTGTTGTCTTCCACATTTAACCTTCATTTGTTTCTTCAGATTTTTATTTTTATAATAAAGGGTCTCATCCAAGACTTAACGTTCCGAGATCTTGGGCAGCGTGGTAGTGAAAGGCCTCTGACAGACCACAGAGAGTTCTAGACCAGGGGTCAGGAAACTTTTTCAGCAGGGGGCCGGTCCACTGTCCCTCAGACCCTGTGGGGGGCTGGACTATATTTTGAAAAAATAATGAAAGAATTCATCTGCCCCACAAATAACCCAGAGATGCATTTTAAATAAAAGGACACATTCTACTCATGTAAAAACACGCTGATTCCTGCACCGTCTATGGGTCGGATTTAAAAGGCGATTGGGCCAGATCCGGCCCCCGGCCTTAGTTTGCCTACCCATCTAGACAGTCAGAAAACACTGTACTAAGAGCTAAAGTTCTGACTCCATGTAAGCCGGCATGACTCTGGGCTCGAGAGAGAGGAAGAGCAGTAAGTAAATAAGCCCTTGTCTGCATTTTCAGATGGTCCCTGAGACCATACAGAATATAAAGCAAAGTATTGGAGGACTTTCCTAAAGCAAATATAGTGGCAGAAGCATGTTAAGATTCTGCTCGCTTCTGCACTTTGATGTGGTTATACTGAAAGCACAAGGTGAAAGGAAAAGTTTTGCTAAGCAGCAAATTGGCATTCCTAGGCTTGCAGATGTTCCAGGACAGCTTGAAATGATATGTAACCAATGCAAATCTACTGCCACATAGCAACCCGTCCCTTCTCCTCATGCATTCCAGTACAACCATGTGAACACTTGGAATGAAGTATGCCTTCATATTCCAAGTACTTTTCTCACATGGCACCCATGATGTGGGAAAATATGTCAGTCCTCAAAGAACAGCCAAACTAAAATAATGGTCTCTAAAGTCAAGTTGTAAGCACTTTCAAGCTATTTATCCATGAATTCTTTGTTACTAAAGACTACCATAATAAAATTGCACAGGAAAATGTTGAGAGAGAGCAGAACGAGTGGGAACTGAAACAACTACTTCAAAAAAGTTATTTGTGGAAAAAATTATTTATTTAAACAAAATGTTAAGTAGGTACAAATATTATGTCTATCAGTTTTCCTACTACATAAAAACCAAATATTTGTTAATACAACTTTTTTAGTAGCAAAAAGCAAAGGCAGTTTTGCATAGCCTATTGCGTTTAGGCTAAGCTTTAGGCCCAGACCAAAAATTTCAAAACAAATGTTTCCAAACGATTGTGTTTTAATATTAAATGTGAAAATATTTAAACATATTTAACAATATTCACTTATAGTGCCCATAGTTTTTTGCTAATATAAGGTATAGCTGTGTTGATTTTTAAGTCAAAAAATACTTAAGATGCAATCAGTTTACATTCTTTTATAGTAATTTAAAATCAGAATAAAGCTAGTTCACAAAATGCTAGACAGAGGGTCCACTACTATGGTTCCATCCTTCTATAGTGAAATCCCAAATAATATGTAGGTTATGCTTACATAGACCCCAAAAGCCACCAATTTATCAACCATTCTAAACTATGAATTTAAAGCCAAAGCACCAATCTCTTGGTTATTTTTTAAAGTATAGAAGTAACTTAGCTTTCTCCATAACAAACCATTTACAATCCAACAGAATGATCCATCCCTTTCCTACACATGGGAAGGGTCCCCAATACACCACTAATACACTCTCCCCCACCTGGGCCTTGCACTACTGCATATGGAGCCAGGCATACTACAAAATGCCAAGGCATTTTACCTGCAATGGGAAGACTATAAATATCTCCCATAGCCAGAGAATCATTTTCCCATGCAAGCTACTCACTCTTGGACAACAAACAGCTTATGAGTGGCCCCAAGGAGGATTGAAACCACTAGATTCATTCAAGGGCCTTTAATTGCAGATTAATGGCCAAGCACATAACAGGAGAGGGATTTATCAGGTTCCAAGTTTTATATGCAGCTAAATATTTGCCCCCACAGCCTTCTACATAAAGTTGATATGCTAAAGCGTTCATCCATCTCCAAATAAATTCTAAAATATAGGTCCCAAAAATAAAAACTTCAATGATTCAAATAATATTTTGTAATTTCCTCTACATATATCACACCACCTCACCCTCTTGGGGGAAAAAACATATGGGATGATATGTCAAAAATAGCATGAAATATCTATACAGGTGAAAAAATGTACATGTCACAATAAACTGATAAGATACAGAGTTGTTATTTGATCACAATTCCATGTTCACTTGGAATTTCAGCAATGCATTATTGATTGTGTGGGAAACTCCCATGTTATTCTTGTATCTTTTGGGTTCCTTCATGAAATCTTATTCAAGGCTTCTCCAAGTTTCTCCGTGGCTTCAGTGTGTGCCTATCATTTTTAGTATCTTGAATAACCTATTTTGACCCTTTTGTTTTGCTGCATAATAAAACAACAAGGCCCATGTTATGTTTCTAAAAGTGCTGTTTACATTTTATAAAATATATATAAGTAGCATCTTAACATTAAGAACAGGACAGGCTAATACAAAATGAGATAGAATATATTTTTATTCAGTATAAAGCCTCTCCACTTTAAGAGACTAATAGTTACCTTGTTCCAAGAAAGGAATAGAAAATTCTTCCACAGTTTAGAAGCAACCTAAAAAGCACCTTGATGAAACAATACATTGGCCTGGATCCAGTGTAGAACATGCACAAGAATAGTTGCACAAGGAGAACACCCCGCCCCTCTCAAGCCCCTCCGGAAGGTCAAAGGGCATTCAAGAAAGACCTGAGCTTCAGGACTGGCGACTACAGTGGGAGAGGTTTGGGAGAAATAGTGTGGAGGCATTCGAGTTATTGTGAGAAAAGAATGAAAAATCCCATATGCACTACCCCTGATGCTCTTTGGACAAAATTGTCAGTTGTCGTGTTGCTTCAAAGAGTCTGCTATCACAGTCACATATGCGGTAACTGGAGCGATGGGACAAAAAACAAACCCCACTCCTTCTGAAGAACCAGCTAGCTACAGCTAGTTACAGCAAGTGCTTTAAGGATCCTTAATGAGAAACATATGGAAGAAGGCATATTTTGTTGGCTGATCTTTTCTTAATTTTTTAAAAACAAGTGGAAATCTAACATACAGGGCCAAAACCTGTATGTTAAGATCAACACATGAAATACAGCTTTATTGTGGAAATATGTTTGCCATATCCTAGACATGCCTCCAAATGAATGAAAAAAGGGCCAAGGTTGATTGTGGAGGTGCTACTTCAACCAACATGGGAGTTTCGTGTCCTCAGTTTCACTTTTAAAATAAGGAATGTGCTTCGAGATGAACAAATGTACACTACTTGTAATACCAAGTATGGTTTCAAAATAAACTGGTTAAACAATTTTAAATAAGCTATCACTAAATGACAATGGAAGATAAAGAGTTACCTGTTTATATTCACTAACGCAGTTTTGGCAACAGAATCTTTTCGGCTCTCCATCAACCATAAGGATATTGTTTGCTGCTCCTTTACTTGGCAGGTATTCCCCACAGTGCTCACAACAATTCATTATTAAGCCATTTGCCATTCGGTATCGATTGAAGCAGTGGTCACTACACAGCTTATGTGTCATATTTTTAAAGCTAACCTCATGACGGATCTAAAAGGGGGGGGAACCAATTTTACTGTAGTGAGTTATAATTAGCCAGATAACAGCTTTTAAATATAAATTTGGATTAAACTGTTTGAAAAATGTGGAAAATGCAATTTCAGAAATGCAAGCTGCATTTGGTACTTTTGAAACTTAAAAAGCAAAAACAAAAGAGGAACAGAGGATACCACATGTAATACAATTTGACTGTAAAATATATGACTTGTAAACATTGGTAAGTATTCAGTACATGACGGAGTATAAAAAACCCAGAATGAAATAAAATGTGTTTAGTAAACTTTCACATGTGAGGCAAAATATATTTTTACAATGTATTCAATCACCACAGAAATTCAGTAACTCTCAAAAAGTTAATTTTCAAAGATTGGAAACTAATGCCCTCTTCTAAGAAAAATACCCCATTTTCCATAAAACTAATATTCACAGAATAAGCTGCACTATGGGAAAATGTGAGGAAAAATGAGTTGTACGTGTATATTAAAAGCACAAAGAGCAAAATGCACCAAATTTCCTCCTTGCCTCAGACACTGACAAAGTTGAACCACGCATCACAGTACATGCATTATTTCTATCTTTGCAAAGAAGGAAAATGACAGACTAATGGTAACGACAAGGATAGAGACTACTACAAATCGTAACTAAAAAGAATCAAAGAATACTTAATCTAAGAAAATTCAAGTCTGTGAAGGATGCAGAAATGCAAACCAACCAATCTGGAAAGGCTAGGTAAATAATTTTCATTTCCTAGGTATCATATGAGAACTTGTATGCTGCCAGAAGACTGAAGAGCATGACAAGTGGCTCAAGTGAAAATTCTGCCCACATAAGAAATATTGGTGAGAAATATTACCTAAGTAATTTCCTGAGAAACTCAAATAATATTATATTAGTGTATAAATGAGGGATGGGAGAAACAAACAAACCTCTGTTAGTTTTCCACAAATAGTGCATCTAGACTTATTTAAGATTCCTTTTGAGGGATTCTGTTTGTCTTCATAGAAGGACAAGCATGACGTGCTGCAAAACTCCTGGAAGGACTCACTTGAATCAACCTGAGCAACAATGGTACCTTTCATTGTTGTTATGTCTCTGAAAGATAAGAAGGGAATGTCCTCTAAATATTAGGAGCCACCATAAAATACAATAGTCACAGATAGTACAAGATTTAAAAGTCTGAACAAAAAACTGGGAAGAAGAAAGAGAGTTTGGATTTGATAACCTGCTTTATCACAAAGCGGCTAACATTCTCCTTGCCCTTCCTCCCCCACAACAAACACTTTGTGAGGTGAGTGGGGCTGAGAGACTTCAGAGAAGTGTGACTAGCCCAAGGTCACCCAGCAGCTGCATGTGGAGGAGTGGGGAAGCGAACCCGGTTCACCAGATTACGAGACTACCGCTCTTAACTACGCCACACTTGGAACAATTTGATTTTATCAAGAGCCCCCTCCCTCCCACCACCCAAAATGGGTGAACTCCAAGCTAAAAATGGTTTAATGTGACACACACAAGAAGGAACAAGCTGTGCAACCAAAGACAACGCTTTCACTTCTTCAGTTAAACATAACTTTGGTGTCATCCAAATCCCTGCTTGTGGTTAGCATTAACTATGCTTAATTTAAAAAAGCCAGCTTTAGAAAATGTGGTTTGAAGTTAGTTTAAAACAAGCCAACCACAGTTTGTGTTAACCAGTTTTTTTATGGCTGACCTGACAGATTGCAATTAAAAGTGGATTCCTTTAAGTTGTTCTTCTAGGCTAAGAGGGAGAATAGAAGAAGAGGAGTTTGGATTTGATATCCTGCTTTATCACTACCTGAAGGAGTCTCAAAGCGGCTAACATTCTCCTTTCCCTTCCTCCCCCACAACAAACACTCTGTGAGGTGAGTGGGGCTGAGAGACTTCAGAGAAGTGTGACTAGCCCAAGGTCACCCAGCAGCTGCATGTGGAGCAGGGATGCGAACCCGGTTCACCAGATTCCGAGTCTACCACTCTTGACCACTACACCACACTGGCTCTCCAGGATAGGGAGGAGCATGCAAGCCCAAGGCTTACTTCAGCTCGTTCCTGCTTGTTAAACAAGTATTCCCCAACCTGGTGCCCTCCAGATGTTTTTGACAACAACTTCCATCACCCTGATCACGGACCATGCTGGCTGGAGCAGACAGTTCATGTACAAAACTGCTGGAGGGTACCACATTGGCTATCCCTGCTGTAGACTAAGGAGCAGTGCAAATAATGGTTTGCATATCAAAAGCCAGTCTTTTCTCCTTGAGTATCAGGAGATATGTACACCCCTTCTCATCTAGCAGTGAAAACATATTTTCATATATCATGGACACCTAATGCAAACTATAGAGAACAAATCCTGTTTCTTTGTAAATTAGAGTGTGAAAATGTAGTTCAATCTGTTTATGAAATTATTTTGCCATAGATGCAGCTGTAATGTAAAGCCATAATTGGTGGCAGAAAAGAGGGATAAATTGATTTGGGGGACTGGGGGTGGAGTCTCATATTTCACAAACCACAATTTAAAAGGAATTAGTCTTATATCTACATCAGTGCTCAACCGTGGTGAAAATACAATGAAGAAAATGGAAAAGTTTATTTGTAAAAGTATTATTTGGAGACACGTGGAATACCATGAGAAGCAAAAATATCAATTATAAACAGAAACACCATAAAGCAAACGTTTGTTGTTGTTTAACAAAAGGGAATGGGAGCACATTTAATTCTTTTGTGCTATAGCTGCTCATTGCTCATAGGATACTCACAAACCTTAGGTTTCTTGTACTGAAGTATGCATAAGCTAAGCCCTATTAACCTGAAGTGATTTTACTCTAATAAAACAGGAAGACAGCTACCTAGCTGCATACAGCCAATGGATCAACAGATAGTTACAATTCTTCTCTCTCAGTAAACCTGACAGCTTCAAAAGCAAAGTTATGCATTTTTAAATTACAAGTTGATGTCAAAATCAATTTATCTAACTGTCCAACATGTCTCAATGCAGCAGTTAATGTTGTTTAGATGGGTAACTTAAAAGGGCTTCAAGAATATTAACACACTGGATTTAATCATGTTTCATTAACAAAGCAAAGCAGGACTTGGCACCACCCAGACCTCACTGCTAGCACTCAACAAATGTGTACAAATTAGGCCAAAACGCTCCACCCATGCTTCCCACAAGTCTCAGCTTAATTTTATATTTTGTTTTTTCAGAACTGTTTATACACCCACATCATTAGTGCCAAACAGCATTCTTCATGGATTCCAGAAGAGGAGACAGGGAACAAAACTAAGATGCTAAGTAGTACGAAATTTAACTAGTTTTGTTCCTCTTTCCAAGTCTCTGTATTGGCATAGGATTATATTATACAGAGAAAGGACTAAACGTGTGTGATAAGCAGAAAACTTTTTATACAAACCACCTTCATTTTAGTTATCTTATATTGTTTCATGTTAAATGTTTAGCGGTTTTTCCTGATTAAGCGTTATATAAATTTTGTTAGCTAAATAATGACTGATCCATGGTTAGCTCAATGTGAATGGGCACTCAAGCCAACAATTTCCCATCGCCCACTGTGAGCAAATCATGGTTTGTGCTTAACTATAGTTGTCTTTACCAAGAAGACCCTTCAAAATGGGCTAATGATTTGGTCATTACATTTGATCCAACTCAATGCCTATCAGTTTTTATAACAAGTATGAACAAGAATAAGTTGAAAGAAGGTAGCTCATTCATGTCCTGGATAAACTGCTTTAAGAACGGTTTTTTATATATATATATATAAAAAACCAACTATCAAGCAGTGTATTTATTTTATGCAATAAATAAATGATTAAAATTAAAATATTTTACTGAGTTTTTGGAACACTGAACAAGAATACTGATCACACTGACAAGGATCAAGCAGTAAGATCTAACCCTTACTTTTTGCACATAACACAGAGTTTCTTTGGAGCTGGTTTATGCGAGAATGATGAAAGGCAGGTAGTGGAACAAAAAAGGTGAACTGATCCTTTCCGCTGATATGCAGTCTGGCCCTTCTGCAAAGGTTTCTTGCAGTTAGCACATGTGACTTTAACCTGCTTAGAAGGCTGCTGTTGTGTAGGAGGCTGGAAGACTTGCTTTGGGAGGGATGCCACCGGTGACAGAGAATCCACACCTGGTTGTTTCTGATTCCTTGGAAATGAAGCTGACTGAGATATCCAGGAATCTTAAAGAGACAAAATATATAAAGTTAAAATTTAAAAATTACCTCTCAATATGAAAAGCAATTTGACAGTGAAGGAGAATATTCTATTCCCAGTGTAGGTAAAAGGAGACCCACTCAGTTTTTCCAAAAGGCTAAATAATAAGTGTCAGTAACATAAAAAGATGTTGGGACACGACACCCATACTGCATAATAAATATTTACAGATCACCACCTGCTAGCCATGGAAATAGCAATAGAATGCCCTTGTCTTCAAAATTCCAACACAATGCTCAGGAGAATTCGGTGAACGTGAAGACATTTTCCTACTCTGTAGGACTTTGAAGATGGAACAGAGGGGGTGCGGAAGACGATATCAGAGTTGGGGGAAACCCTTTTCAGCATTCACTTCTGAGGACCAAATTCTAGTGGTAGGCAGGGCCACAATGAATGGATCAACAAATGTACAGTACGCTGGTTTCTACACACACTCACACACCTCTCTATCCTCCATCAGAAAACTATTATCAGAGTTCAAGAGCATATTCTAGCCAGGCACATGCACTTGGGTTACAAAGCAGGGTCAGTGAGGGGTATAGCTTGAGGAGTGTTTCAAGGGCCAGATGGAAAGGTCTGGAGGGCCACATTCAGCACCCAGGCCTCAGGTTCCCCACTCCAGATTCAAAGCAAATTTGCTGTATGCCTCACTTTCAAGGAGGAAGCAAAAAGCTTTGAGTTTGAATTTCAGCTATCAGGACAAGGGCTAGCAACTTTCTAAAAAGGAACTAGTTTTGGAGTTAACAGGTTTTGTCATCAGACATCCCACAACCTTCCAAATACTTACTGGAAACTTAACATGCTATAAGCGGCTGAAACATTATTTGGTCAAGTTTTATATAACTCCTCAACTGAACCCACACATTTTTTGAGAAACTCAAATCAATCATTTAAAAAACTATCCAAGTTAGTAACACTTCTTCATTGAGCAATGTAAGTTACCTAAGCAAACGAACTTGGAGGGACACTCAGATTCAGAAATATGGTCTATTTTTCTTGTACTAAACAAACTAACAGGCCATTCCTGTCTGAACTGTAACTTCAGCAACTGAACTTAGTGAGTACAGTAAGTCAGGTTGCAGAATTTCATTTACAGTACAGTGGTACCTCGGTTTACAAACTTAATCCGTTCCGGAAGTCCGTTCTTAAACCAAGGCACCCTTTCCCTAATGAGACCTCCCGCTGCTGGTGCCCTTCCACCGTTCGGATTCTGTTCTTAGACCGAGGTACAGTTCTCAAACCGGGACACTACTTCTGGTTTTGTGGAGTTCGTAAACCGAATCATTCGTAAACAGGTTTGTTCTTAAACTGAGGTACCTATGTTTTAATTACATATTTAGGTTGTCACTCTAATGATTATGCATACATACACAAGTACATAATTTTATTTGTATGCCACTCAAGGCAGCTTGCAACATGAAGAAAATATCTAATTGCAACATAACAAAAATGGTCATAAACATCAAAACATATACAACCAAATTGAACAATTTCCACACAAAACAAATGATCTTATTTTTATGGTATTTTGTGTTTGAACTTTGTGTACAATCATAATCTTTTATACAGCGCTATAGAAATTTCTGGTTGGACAGTGTTCTTGAAGCTACAAACATGAGTCTGGCAAAACTGCGGGAGACAGTGGAAGACAGAAGTGCCTGGCGTGCTCTGGTCCATGGGGTCACGAAGAGTCGGACATGACTAAACGACTAAACAACAAATAGAAATTTCAGTAATTTGCCATTTAGAAATGGAGATGATAAAATACCTAACTGGTAAATGACAAGCTGTGTCATGATACTGTATTTGAAGATTTGAAAATATTAGGAGTAACTGGACTTTACTGTCTTAAGGAACTTAAAACTTCTCATATACAAATAGATCAATATTTGTTTAATAACACACTTCAGCACTTAACTTTGGACATTATCATAGAACCCAAACTCATCTCCTCTATCATTAACCTGTGACATGAAAACAATCTCTGTAGATTGTCTATGACAGGGGTCTGCAACCTTTAAGACAAAAAGAGCCACTTGGACCCGTTTCCGAAGAAAAAACAACTGGGAGCCGCAAAACTCGTCATTATAAAAAAACTTTTTGTCACTTTTTTTTTATTTCTTTGTTTGACCCCTCAGAATTACTACTCCTCATAGAAATAAACGTTAAATTAACAAGTTACCCTTTTTTGTGTGTGTGTTCTTCACTCCCCTTCAAAACAGTGACCAGCGTACATGCCCCCTTTCAATGCAGTGACCAGCGTACATGCCCCTTACAACGTAGCGGGCGGGCGGGAAGGTGACGTTGGGACGGTGCGTGACTAACGCACGCACCACCCCCATGCGACGTCACAGCCAGTACAGCGCCCGCCACAGTGGGGAGTGTCGGGAGCACAATGCGCCTCCTCCCCTCGCTAGTATCCGCCCCGGAGCCGTGGCAAAGGTGTAAAAGAGCCACATGCGGCTCCGGAGCCGCGGGTTGCAGACCCCTGGTCTATGGAGATTGTCCTTCATGAAACAAAACCTATATTCTGCAGTGTGGATGAAAACCTTTTTAGACCCACATCACATTAATCAGTGAATGGCTCTAGAAGCACCCTGAAACAAACAGCAACCAACAAAACCAAGAAGATAAAGGTAACAAACTACTCAAGAAATAGATAAGAGAGAAGAAAACAAGGACAATGTTTGCCCGAGAGCAAGGACATCATCTCTGATGATGATGCCTCTGCCAAAAGGTATTTAGCGGGAAGTTGGGGGCCATGCTCCCATGAACATGCACACTGAGAGAAGGGGGGAAAGCTCACCAAAAACCTAGCTCTAGAAAGTTCTCAGCAATGATCTGCATATGTACAGCACCCATTTGTGAAACCATTTCTGAAACCAAATCGTTTTGCTACTGGCTTAGAAATCTTGGTTTGAAAAACCCACCTTGTTTTCAACCATTGTTTGGCAATACAAATAATCCCAGTATCCTTTCTTAACCATGGTTTGTGGCCACTCCTCTAAACGCTGACTAGTCTACAAAGTCACGAGATAAGAACAACTGAAAAACCCAACCTTGGGAGAAACTTGACCATGGCCAGGTGTGTCCCAACACTGCATATTACTGACACCTAATGAAGTTATTTACATTTTTTATATGGGGAGGGAGGGCTATTTTGGCCACATAATGGTGGGAAGTTTTCCTGGAAGTTCAGAAATTAATAAAGAATAATAATATTATTTATACCTGCCCATCTGGCTGGGTTTCCCCAGACACTCTGGGCGGTTTACAGAATATATAAAACATAATAAAGCATCAAACATTAAAAACTTAAAATACCCTATCTGTAATTACATTCAGATGCAGATTTGCACTTTTATAAGCAGGTTGTCCTAATACGGCTTTTAAGGTGTAGTACATAACCGTAAAGTCTGTCAACCACCCAACATTGTTCAAGCAATGTCTATTGCCACAATGAAATCTGGAAAGTTGCTCACCGAGTGGCATGAAGACATTATAGTAATTAATTAACTAATTAAAACCCCCAGAGTGAACTTAAATGGTTAAATTGGACAATGAGGAAGTGAGCTTGTCCTCCAAACAAAAAACTATGGGTTTTCCATTCTGGTTTCAAGTGCAAGCACTAATAACAGTTGCCAACTTGGATATTACATAAACCACGATTAGAGTAGAGGAAAACCATCCACAGTAAAAGGAGGTAAGGAGCAAGAACTCCATGAATCTGCAGTATTTTCATTGTGGTTGTTGGCATCAGTCTGACTTGGGAGACAATGGAGGAGTGTGCCTTTGGGGGTAAAGTCGAACTGGAGAGTTACAGCTCCTACTATGGCTATAGAGATTGATATGAGAGGCATGCTTTATTGCAGGTGAGGCAGATATAGGCATCCAGTTTTGTTGCTACAGGAGCACCATGGCACCACTTCTCTCTGTGCTGCTCCCAGCAGTCATTCATCCTCTGGTCACTGCTGTGAATATACAACCTGCCTGCCTATATTTTCATAAGATTACTTTTTGTAGAGAAAAAGTTACAAAAACTGCTACTTGAGAGAAGACTGGCTAGCTCTTCCAAACAATGAGACACATATGGGAAATGGGTCCTTCATTAACCAAACTATAATTGGTTATCTTTAGGTATTAGCCACAGTTCCCAATTGTAAAATAAAAAAATAAAATAAAATAAAATCTCATTTTAATTTATTTAATTTACTCCTATGTAGAAATGACTGTATATGATACTTAATATGGAAAATGGGTAAATCTCTTTGGTTTGGTCAAAATGACTTCAGTCTTGACTTTAGCACAAAATGTTTAAAGGTTGGGGTGGCGGTCAGGGAGCATGTTAAAATGTTTAATATTGGCTCAAAGGCACTATGAAATCGTGAAAGAATGAACCTCAGTGTTTATCTAATGTTTATCTAATAGGAGTGGGTAAGATAGGATAGCATTGGAGACCTGTAAATCATATACAGTGGTACCTCGGGTTAAGTACTTAATTCGTTCTGGAGGTCCGTACTTAACATGAAACTGTTCTTAACCTGAAGCACCACTTTAGCTAATGGAGCCTCCTACTGCTGCCTACGGAGCACGATTTCTGTTCTCATCCTGAAGCAAAGTTCTTAACCTGAAGCACTATTTCTGGGTTAGTGGAGTCTGTAACCTGAAGCGTATGTAACCCGAGGTACCACTGTACTGCATATAAGCTCCTGCTCATCCATGGACTGAAGAATGTGCTATTAGTACCCCAGTGCACATACATACTGCAAGAAATTTGTACATGGAATTGTGACATGCTAAAATCCACAAGCAGGTTTCTGGTCAATTGCTACAGAAAATTAATGTATAGAAACCTGGTAGTGATAATTGATGCAATTGGGTAACAAGGCAAACTCCGATTTAATTGTCTACAATATAGGAGTGATAGAGACTTGCCTCACATGATTGTAAAGCAGTTTATACATGAATCTTTATGGCCAAGCTTCATAAAGTTCTGAAACACCAGTCACTTACAGTAGTGTCGGTAACATATTCAGGCAACCTCTTTTGACCAGAGGTGCATTTGTCTTTTATGTCTGAAACTATGTATCAGGTGCAAAAATTAAGCAACTTCAGTTTTCATTAGTTTCAGATCTTTCTTATTTAGAGATAAACAAAGCTTGATTGTTGAAATCTCAAGAACTAAAAAAGCGGCTGAGCAGATTTGGAGGTCAGAGTTTTTAGCAGGCAACCCTTTTCCCGTGCTCAAAAGTTAGCAGAAGAAATATACCTCTATGCCACTGTGCAAGTTTTTGTTCTACATGTGCGGTCTTGTGGGCACAGGTTTTTATCTTCCTTTTGACACATAGTATATACAATTCTTTTGTAGTCTTCCACTGTTTGGTTTTTAAATTTAATGTTTTGGTGACAATATTAATGTTTGTTTTATTTTCTGTAAACCGCTTAGAGATACACAATTTGTTAAATAAATAAATAGATGGAGCCTCACTCTTTTCTTCTGGAAGCAAAATTTTATTCTCCCCACCCCTTTTGACCCTTCTCATGTGTTCCAAGTCACTTGTATCTATGCTCAAAACTGCATCCAACACTTTCCTTACAATAATGAGCTGGTTTCTGCTTAAGGTTTATTATTTTCACTCCTCTTAAGAAAACGTGGTTTGGACCTATCCCATCCCATTTAAATTGACACACATGTAAGAAACAGTGACCAGAACCCAGACAACTCCCAAAACCAAGCCCCAAAAAATTTGGTTGTGATGCCAGAGCAAAAGGGCAAAGGTCTGCTGGTTGAACCATTAGCAGATCTTGTTAAAAGTAATTATCAACTTTACAGGGCTGCAAAAACTGTCTTTATCCATGGATAACTAAAGTAGCTAAGCTTAACACTCTTAACCTGAGCTAAGCAAATAAGATGCTATATTGTATTTATTGCTGTGGGGTTTCTACTGCACCCAGTATTCATAAAGCCACCAGTGACACTATTCACTCATGAGACATTATCCTATATCCCTGGATATTTCTAGCTGGTATCTTCAACGGCAGCTAAAGTTCCACTACTGCCCAATCTTACTAACTTGAAGACACCCCAGTGTGTGAGAACTTCGCCCCTCTCCACTCAAAAATCTAAAAAGGCGGCTAATAATTTGCCGTCCGAAAACTGAACATCTTGGATGAAAGTGCCTTTAGGGGAGTTCTCCATGGATAACAATTTAAGAATCCTTTAAGAAATAAACAACTTCTGAACAGCACCTGATTACAGACAGATTAGAAGTGGTCAAAACCTGTTTACTTAAAAACATCTTGATCCCCATCAGTCCAGAAACTCCTTTGATGCTAAGCAATGGTTACAGAAGATGCTCCTTTGAACATGTTACTGATAAGTGAATTAATGTGGATGTGCATAAGTGCACCTCACAACACCCCGAGCCCCAAGGGGACTAGGACCTCAGTATCAGGAGGTAAGCATGAGGGCTTGGGAAATGGCTGTATATGCCACGACGATAATAACTCCATATGGCAACCTATCAAGGTTGACTGACTCTTTAAGTCTCCTCCACCCTTAGATATTAAGTTCTTGTCATGAAACATTGTGAGCTGGAGAAATAAGGCAAATGACTGAGTTCCTAGGAGACCTGGTCTCAAACCCCAATAGTAATTGAAGGCTTTAAAGCCTATTCACTGCCAGCCTTCAAACTAAACCTAAAAGGTAGATTCCACCCAGTTTAGCCATTCTTACTGCTCTATGTTTAGATTGAAACCTGACATTCCTTCAAGCCTGTAGCTCTACAATCTAAGCCAGGCATAGGCAAACTCAGCCCTCCAGATGTTTTGGGACTATAACTCCCATCATCCCTAGCTAACAGGACCAATGGTCAGGGATGATGGGAGTTGTAGTCCCAAAACATATGGAGGGACAAGTTTGCCTATGCCTGATCTAAGCCTTCAAGTTTGATTAGAATCAAGGGACACTTGCCAAAATCTATACAGATATATCTCCCTGCACAGAGATGCCCTCCCCATTTCTTCACTGAAGCAGTTTGCAACAAATTCCCTCTACTGAAATAATCTTAGCATGTGACTTTAACGAGAGGGTGAGCCATGATGACTCTGCACTTCTCAGAGTGCTTGGACTTGACCAAGGTAATTCTCTACCTGCCTTTAACTGTCTACTGTTCTAAGGACAACATCTTGAACAATGCAGGCATATGCCTCACCAATTTTTGCATTCAATTCAGTAAAGTCTTGCTCAATTATTCAGTGAGTTTTGATAATTCCGGAGAGTTCACCTATATATCAAACAAGGGGTTAACTGTGTGTTTGACTATTTCCTAGTTTCCCCAGTATCGGGGGATTGAGTCGTGGTGGGCAATTGCACTGTTAAATGACCACTTATTTTTGACCTTGGCCATAGAACTTAACTGTCCTGTGCTCACACCTTTCCTGCCCAACTCCTGATGAAAACATAAGACATTCTGCCAAGAATTCCTTGGACTGCATAAATTCCATCCATTATTTAAAACCAAGACAACACTGGAGTGCAGTTTCTGTAATTAACCCAGAATACCCCCAAGAAGCTATCAAAGGATATGAAAATTTATGAACATCTGATTTTTCAAAACAACAATTTAAGGTGTGGAAACAATCCAGGGAGTCTTTTACTAACAAGTGGTTTGACAAGGAACGTAGAGCTCTAAAATCTTATATCCAGAATATTTCTTGACAATACTGGAAGGAAGAGGGTGCTGCCTACTTCCAGAATATTTTAGTTCTAAAAATCTACTGCGGTATCTTACTGAAAAAGAGAGAGAGAGAGAGAGAGAGAGAGAGAGAGAGAGAGAACTGAATATACTAACAAGCAATGGGAAAATCTGCTTCATAACTTCAAATAGCTCTAGGAAATTCTGGTTCTTGGTCTCAGAGGAACTCAACACCAAAGACCTCCCCACCCCATCCATTTCACTTAGTTGTTGGTATCATTACTTTGCAAGTGTCTTGCACAAGGAACGACTAGATGGAGTGGCAGGTCACCATTCTATGCTCCCAATCTCACCTGATGAAGTAAAAATGCTAATAGTCCAGCTAAAGAAAGGGAAGGGCATCTGGTCCAGATGTGATAGGCTCCAAAGTACTAAAATTAGACTTGACTGGTGAACCCCTTTGCTGGCTAACCTGTTTACATCAGTGAATAACACTGGATCCATGCCAGAGGCATGGACAAGGGCAATAACAGTTCCAGTATATAAAGGGAGACCATATAATACCATCTAACTATAGATCAAGAAGTCTTTTCCCTATAGTGGGTAAGTTATATGCTAAACATCTATTGGGTAAACTTACACTTTGGATGTCTCAACTTGCAATACCAGGCCCAGAGCAGGTGGTCTTTTGCCAGGGTAAACTTCTCTGGACCACTGTGTCATCCTATCTCACCCAGATAGAATCTAGACACAAAAACCGCTCTGAAAATGATTTTTGTTAAAGTGTTTTTAAAAAATACATTGAATTTTCCATAAGGCTCACAATCACCATCTAGTGTCACATTGTATAAAGCGCACATAAAATGTTTTATTTGCAACTGTATAGCTGAGTCCCGTTGATAAATATTCTAAGGCATCCAAGTCAAAGCTCTATACGATCTTCCTGAACCTAAAAGGAGCCTTTGATTCAATCCCAATTTATACTCTGGAATAAATTAACCAGAATGAACATTAGCTTAAGGTTACTTTTTCTTATTAGGAAATTATACACCTCCATGAGCTGCCAGTGAAATGCTCCCAACGAGCAGGCAAATCGTAAAAAATTATTACCAACAAAGGAGAGGAAACAGGGTTGCATCTTAGCCTCTTACTTATTCAATCATTTTCCATATGACCTTGTTCTCTGTTTATGTGGGGTTGGTGCCCACTGCCCAAAGCTTAGCTCCATTCATATTCCCATTCATATTCTCCATTCATATTCCCATTCTAGGTTAGATTGAGGGCCACTCAGTGTTGAGTGACCCAGAGACCAAGAACCAGAATCCCCACCAATGTAGAGCTTTTTTCCTTTTTTTAAAAAAGTAATATTTATTACTTTTATAGATTACAAAAAAGAAAAAAAAAGAAAAAAGAAAAAACAGACGAAAAAACAAAGGAGGAAAACAAAAAGAAAAGAACAATACAATACAATATATAAACAATACAAAACACAACCTAAACTCAAAACTACACACATTAAACTAAACTAAACTAAACAAACCCCACTCCCTAACCTTAACCCTGAATGGAACAAAACAAAAACAATTTAAAAACATGCATCATCTCTTTTCCATACTCTATCTTTCATTCCCTTGTTTCCTCGACCTCCTCTCACCTCCCTTTTTGTATTCCACTTCTATTACCGTATTTTTCGCTCTATAACACGCACCAGACCATAACACGCACGTAGTTTTTAGAAGAGGAAAACAAGAAAAAAAATATTCTAAACAAAACAGTGGATGTATGATTTTTGTGGTTCATGCTGTGGCCACAGACATGTGATCTGACAGTGAGTTTGGAGTAGCCCAATGCAAAAATCCTGAGGATCCATGTGGATCCATGCTTTGTAACCACGTTTTTGCACCACTGCGATCCCAGGCAACAGTGGGTGTGTGATTTTTTTGGTGCAAGATGTAGCCATGGACATGCTATGTGATCTGATGGTGAATTTGGGGTGACCCAGTGCAAAAATTTTTACACTCGTGTAAGCGGCTCCTCTCCTCTCCCGCTTTGCTCCTTTAAAGCAAGCAGGCTCTCTGTCCCTCTCTCCTCCCCACTCAGCGGCTCTTCTCCCGCTTTGCTGTTTCAAAGCGAGCCACGGAGGAGGGAAGGAAGGGGAACCATGGATCCTCTGCTCACAACTGCAGCAGATCCCCCCGCCACCCGTAGGCATTCGCTCCATAACACGCACAGACATTTCCCCTTACTTTCTAGGAGGAAAAAAGTGAGTGTTATGGTGCAAAAAATACGGTAATTGTTTCAGCAAATCCTTTCCATCTTTCTCCATTTTCTGTGATATTGTAAATAACGTATGTTTTAACCTTATTTTCCATTAAAACTAAAATACTTATATGTGCTTAACTCCTTATAACATTTCTGTTAAGCCCCCCCCCCCCAATCATTCCACCATTTTTCTATCACTCATTAGTTTTACCATAAGTCTATATACAGTGGTGCCTCGCAAGACGAAATTAATCCGTTCCACGAGTCTCTTCGTCTTGCGGTTTTTTCGTCTTGCGAAGCACGGCTATTAGCGGCTATTAACGGCTTAGCGGCTTTAAGAAAAAGGAAACAAACTCGCAAGAACTCGCAAGACGTTTCATCTTGCGAAGCAAGCCCATAGGGAAATTCGTCTTGTGGAACGACTCAAAAAATGCAAAACCCTTTCGTCTAGCGAGTTTTTCGTCTTGCGGGGCACCACTGTATAAACTTTAAATTTTCCAATCTTCTTCCACCATCTCCTCTCCCAGGTTTCGGATTCTGCCAGTCCTTTCCGTCAATTCCATAAAGTCCATCAACCTGGTGATCTTATGTCCAAGGCTCTTAACTCTTTTCCAAGTCCCTTCTGCAGGTCTTCTTCATTTTCTTTAATGCTAAAGAGCAAATCTCGGGGAAACTCCAACCTGTCAATCCTTTTCTTCCTTCTGAACAAATCAGCTAAATTTCCATAGTTAAAGCTACAGTCCATAAAGTATTTCCGGGCATATTTCAAAATTCCTCCAATTCCAAAGGCCCCCAAAACTTCAATCTCCTCCAGGCCCGAGTCCATGTCCCAAAAGTCAGTTAATCCCTGCATAGAGGGCTCTTTCCAACTTTCCTTCTTTAATCCAAGCCGGGATCCATTCCTCGGAGTCTGACTTTTCCTAGATTCAATCATAGAAGGCCTCAACTTATAATCCTCAATTTGCTTCTGTAAAACCACAGATCTCACTTGTATTTTATGTTCAACAACAGCAGCATTCTCCTTCTCCTCCACCATTTGTCCTGCCAAAATGGGTTCCTGTACCAAGTCCTGAATTATTTCTGTGTTGGTGTTCGCTTTTTGACTCAAGTTAGTCACTTTCTGTTCCAAGTTATCAACTTTGAAAGTCATGTCATCCATCTTCTTGTGAAGCTGTCCCAGCGAACAGCTTATCTTACATAAAACAGTCACAATGGCCTCTCCTGTCAACATTTTTCAATAGTCCAAGGTCGCTCTCTGGTTCTCAGAATCCTTATCTGCAGTTGGAAATCCCCCAGTTATACTCCTGTAACAGTTTCAAAAGCTCCCTCTAGAGGGAAACAGTCTCCACTTGTATCAGTTCTTTCAGGCACAACTCAAGCATTAAAGATAAATTTTCAGTTACTTTTCCTCTTTTTTAAACGCAGAAAAGGACAATGGAAACAGTATCTTACTCTCATTTAGCTAGCTGTCAAATCCATTCTGTCAAAAGCACTCTCTCCAAACGTCATCTGGCAGCCCATTCCCAGGTTCAGAGCAATGGTAATTTGATTTTTTCCACTCTCTCCTGCAGGCGCACTAGATCCAAAATTTCCCCCTCTTCTCCTGCTTCCAAGGGGGGTTTTGTATTTTAAACCGGTGGAAATTTAATCCTTTGCCAAAAGCTTTCAAAGGCTTTAACTTGTAACGTCTTTGCTTCAGTCTATTTACAAAAACGGGAGGCGGACTTCCTGTTTATAACCTTCCCGTTTCAGTGCCAAATTAAAGTATTTAAGAATCCAATTTTCCGTTTTACTCACGAGTAGTTGTTTAAAATCCAATTGTCCACAGGAAAAAGTCAGCACTCTCCAGCAACAGCAATGTGGCTTCACTCCGTGAAAGAAGCAGTCGATTCAAAGCACCGCGTCACTCACCCCACATCGCTCCAGATCCCCAAAACAGGGTTTCCCCGCGAGTAGGGGAGGCGCAAAAGGTGCCAGCCGAATCCCAGGTTCACAAGCTTCTCCCGCTTGTGATTTCAATGGGTCTCCACCTTCGCCGTGGTGGTCAGACCCTGTTTTTCACGGAGCAAGTTCCTCCCGAACAGAGGAGCTCCGCCATTGCCGGAGGCGCCAACCCGGAAGTCTGTAGCGCTTTTTTTCCTTGCAAGATTTAACATCATGCCATCTGCTACTGTAAGGAAGATTCTAGAAAATTCCGTATTCAGAAAGCTATGGTCCTTGTGGTATAAACAGGTCAAAACCATTGCACATGTTTTATTTTACTGCCCATTTTACACAGAAAATCTGCAATAAATATATAAACCCCATGCTGAAAGGAAGGTTAAATTGACCTGACTTCTCCAGGGTTTCCTTTCTACTAAACAGCTGTAGGCCTGCCATTATGGATAATGTAGCAAAATTTCTGAGAGATACCATGAAACTACATCGCTATAGGATTTGAGAGGCACATTTAAACCTTATTATGTCTGTACCATATTAGTTTTATCTGAAAGTATCTCATATTTTGAACAGATGCCAATTTTATGCTTTGACTGCTCATTCTTCAGTAATCACATTATTGTTTTACAGCTCTGAAAAGGAGTGAGGTTGTTGGTCTGTTTTTGTTCTTGTTTTTATTATGTACTTTGTGTTCTCATTGTGTATTTTTATATTCTGAACCACCCTGTGATCTTTGGAGGAAGGGTGGTATACAAATTTAAATAAATAAATAAATAAATTTCTTAACAAATGAAATATATTTTTCTCCAGTAACTGAAACAATATTTTCCTTTTTTATCATAGAGAATAATTATTCTATCCAGTAACTAACAATCCCTTCTGGAAAGTACACTATGTTCACTCATAAGCAAGCCACACCAAACAATGGGCCTAACTCTTCAACAGCTACTCACCTTGGTCTCAAATTAAGATATAATTCTGTAGCACAGAAGGTTCTGTGGGCTACATGGTCCAAGGAGAATATGCTTTAATTGTTATAGTAACCAGCTATTATGCACACTTGTTCAGCAAACATACTAATTACAGTGGAAAACTCCATTTAAATAACCTTGATTAAATAAATGCAGCCTGATTTGTAAACCTGTACCATGGTCTCAAAAATGGAAAAAATAATCCACAATGTAACTGGTATTATTAGTTATATATTTGCATAAAAAGGTACAACCTACCAGGGTTATGATGAGTCGCAGATTCTCCATTCTGAAAGACATCTCCAGCTACGTTCATTCTACCAGGATTGAAAGGTCCTACACCAGTCTTGGTCTGTGAAGTTAAAGATGGGGTGTATGTTTGTATATTAACACCAAAATTACTTGACTGCAGTCCGTTAGATACATCTCCCAAGTTGGTATTCTGTAGTGATGTTACATGTGTAATCATTAAGTTCATGTCACGCCCTTCAGTATTTTCTAAACGGCCAACACTCACAGAGCTCATACCTCTTTCTAATGTGGTAACATTAGCAATTTGAATTTCAGAGTCTGGTTCTGTGGTTATACCACTATTACCTATTCCTGCATTTACCTTACTTCTTGAAAAACTGGGTGGTGAAAATTCCATCTCAGTGGCTCTGTTTTTAGGCTCTGGAAATCTTCTTTCACTGAAACTGGAATCATTTCTCTCTTGCCCCTGATTTGCTTCAGTATCTTCTTCATCATCAATAATAATAGTTTCAGTTATACTTCCCTTTTGAGAACTCAGGTCTTTTGTTGGAACCACTGCTTTGGGGTCATTTCCGTGATGCTCTTCATTACTAGGTGAACTAAAAGCTGAATTTCTAGGATCCGTTATCAACCCTGCAGAAATCTGTGGAGGTTGCACAGGTTCAACAAATACAACATCATCATCGTCTTCTACGGAAGGACTCTGGAACTTAGATCTAGAAACCAGAGAGTTAGATGGACAGCCGAAGGAGTTTCCTACATTGGCTAGGCCAGTTGCCATTGTGGTAGCCCCCAATAACTCAGATGGGTGTTCAGACAGCGCCAGTTTTCACACAGCTTGTGGACCTTCCAGAAAAACTGTTATAAAAGAAAAAAAGCAGTTTTACTATAATGCAATGTTCTGGTTGTTTAATTCAGAAAGTATTTCCAAAGGCAGCATACTTCCAATTGTTTTCCTTTCCTGGCTGGCATGTGTATATTCTCTCCCTCCCTCCTTTTATCAGTTAGATCTAGAAATTTCCAGATTCCATGTATGAGGCCAGTATCTCTGTTCCACTGAAGCAAGAGATCCCTTTTTTTGTTCTAGTCATGCACTCATCTCATGAATACATGTAGATGTCAAAATCCTTTCAACAGTGTTGACAAGTGTTTTAAATTCTTCTTTATACAAATGGCAGCTATTCAGAGACCAACATATGAGAAATCACACATCAAAGGACTTATGGAAAGCAATCTAATGGCCTAGTTCAGATATAATATGAAATCATGATTTACCACTAGTTCTAGCAAGCCTCAAACCAGGATGATTTCCATTCCCTCTATTCACACAATGGCAGGAAACCAAAGGCTTGCACTTTTCATTTTGCATAAAGCAGTTTCCCATTACATCAAAACTTGAGAAACAATTCTAATTGTAATTAGTTTTGAACTAGCCACTTTTAGAATGAACCACTGTTTACCAAATTTCAACGGAAAAGAAAATTGGTTCTTCAAAATCTAAAGTGGAAGCTTTCAATATCCAGGTAACATGCCTTTTTGTGGGGGAGGGTACCAACCCAAGGTTTGCTATGACTTTTTTCATGTTAAACCTCTAAAGCAGGTCAGAAAAAAGAAAATGGGGCAAGATTCCTCTGCTGAACATGTGGTAATTGGCTGGCGGAAATGACTGGCAGAATCCGAGACCAGAGAGAAGAGACGGTGAAAGAAGACTGGAAGAAATTTAAAGACTATTTACAGAAATATTGTAAAATTAAGGAATCTTAGAAGGATGTTGGATAGAAACTAAGGGTTTTTCTTAGCTGTAATGCTTTAAGAGATATGAAAAAAGGTTTACAACTGGGTAATTTTAATGATAAGGATTTGCTGAATCAACAAATTGAACTGGAATACAAAAAAGGGAGGTATGAGGAGGTCCGGGGAAATAAGTATAAGGAAGATAGGTTATGGAAATTTAATGTCTTTTTAATTGTTTTATTTGGTATGTTTTCTTTTATTTTTTACTTCTTTGGTTATATTTAAAAAAAAAACTTTATTCTTTTTCTTTCTGTATTCTGTATTTTTTTTTTTTGAAACTTTAATAAATATTATTTAAAAAAAAAAAACATGGTAATTGGCAATTCAACTTTAAGCTCATATTATGTATGTGGGCCTGTAAATTTATCAAGACAGATTTCGATATTTGAAAAATGAGGTCATGACTCAAGGTGAACGTACACAAAACCAGAGGGGTAGCTATATAAATCTGTTGCAAACAGCAAAGACCCATGTGTCGCTGCAGGCCACTAGATAGATGTTACATGCCTAATCTTTGAGTTAATGTCACATCTTTCACTATTTACTAAACAGCCAACAGAACTCATACCTCTTTCCAATATAGTAACATTAGCATTTTCGAATTCAGAATCTGGTTCCGTGGTTATACCACTACTACCTATTGAAGACTAACAGACTTATTATGATATAAGCTTTTGAGGATAAAATTTGATTTATCTTAACAACAGATAGCTGAAGGGGCTATCCATTTCTACCTACAAAAATACTTGGGTACCAAATGTCATTCAGGGATTTTTTTAAAAAAAACTTTATTCAAAAGTTTTATAACATACAAAAAATAATGTATGGTATATAACAGTAATATCTTCTATACAACTTTAATTTGCTTGATCATGAGGCTTCCTCAATAGAAAGTGTTTGACATTGAAATTTAGTCAAATGTACTTATCCTCCTGGATTAGCAAAGATGCTGAGAACTGGACTGGAGATTTTCTAGCAGTGTCCATTAAACATATTTATGTACCACATAAAAAAAAGATAATTCTGAGACATTCAATGAGATTTGTTAATGATTTCTTTAACAATTCTTTAAACAAATATTAATATTTTGTTTCATTTTCACCCATAAGCAAGGTTTTCCTTCCCCAGTTCCTTTTCATTTGCAGTGTACTTTGCTTTATTTTTACACTTTTGCTTCCCTCATAAATCCATTATATTCACTTTGGGGTTAAGATTTTTATTTATTTTTTAAAGAATCTGCTGTTGTATTAGTCATTCTATTCATGATCAATAAAATGTTGAACAAAAAAGTGAGAAAAGGTATCACTGGAATACCTTGCTTTATTCCCAATTAAATTAGCAGAGAAATAAAAACAGTAAAAGGAATTGGCAGGATTCACTTAACCAGCCTCATCAGCAGAAGCCCTGCACAAGGACTTTTGCTTCCACAATGGGACTTCTTCACTCCCCCTCCCACGACATTGGCTCAGATGGGTTTGGAAGAACCCCCAGAACAGTATGCAGTGGTAGAAAGGGGAATATCATTTCATCTGGTGAGCTAAACTGCATGAGCAGACAGAGCGACTGGAAGAGTGTGATGTTGAAATCTACCCAGAATGGGCAACTAAAGAAGTCTCTTAATGTTCAATCATTTTTAGTACAGGTTTTCTGTTAATTTCTGCAGTTTTCTGTTAATTAGTATCATTTCAGTGTTTAATAGAAGGGAAATTAAAAGGCAGGAATCATTTTGTTATTAGAAAACGTCTGTTCAAACAGTTTGCTAGTAAGAAATCCATCAACAATATGAACAAATGTGTGAAGTAAACTTCCAGTGCACTGTGAATCTAATCAGGCTGTACTAGAAAATAAGTCTCAGAGATAAATTGATCTTACTTTCATCTAACAACGTTCAGCAATTCACCTTCAGTCAATCCTGTTTCTACTGTAAAGCAACTTCAAGTCATAATATTACAGAAGAGTCTTATTCATACTCCCAATCACAATGTTCATAATTTTATAAGCCTCATTTTACTCTTAATCAGTTTTTCTAAAGAAAAAACAAGATTTTGGCTACCCTTTACGATTCTGTCATTTGGAGTTTTTATATTTTTAATATTTTAAGGAGTCAGCAACAGAAATGTTCAACATATGCTAAACATTAATGTGTAATAGATTTTTTAAACGGTATTAAGATACTAGTCACTGTTATTTTTCTATGAAATATTCAACAGTGTGCCTTTTTTCTTACTACAGCACACAACTTGATTTTGATGAGCTTTCTTCCATGCACATTCCTTTATCAAAAAACATTTTTTCTGAGTTTACAGCCAGCTTGGACCAGATTGGTATATATTTTTGTCTCCCAACAAGCATTTACATTAAATTCATCTGCCAATTTGTAGCCCATTCACCTACACTGGAGTGATCCTTTTGAAACACTTTTTAGTCTGCCTGAAATCACCATCCTGAATACCACTTCTATAGAGGATTAGGTATTATCTTCTGAAACACTTACCCATTCAAGAATATGCAGCAGTAGGTTAAGCTTAAAAAGTTGCTCCAGTGCCTTGTTTGTGCTGGAAACCTGGCTTTCTCTTCCAGAGAGACTGGAGATCTCTGAAAATATGTAACCTGAAACAGATTAGATCCATGTTAAGAATGTTTATTATTCAGAAAACATACAATATTTCAGTCCTAATCCCAAAGGTAACCTAAACTTAAAAATACACCCAGTTCCATCAGAAATTGTGTCATGTTCACTAAAGCAAATGGGAGGTGCATTACTTGACAAAACTCAAGTAACATTCACATTGCTGATAAATTGCTTGGTTTGTACCATCAGCTGTGTAGAAAGAAATTATCAGCTGAAATATGTTGTGATTATGGGAAGCATTTAATAACCTTTCTGTGGTAGCTCAAGGGGATTTCCCCCTACTCACAAACACATAGCCCATGCCCTCCCCAAAGCACTTAAATCCACTGTTGTCTATAGTTAAGAAAAACTTCTATAATGACAGATACAGAGATTCATACGCAACTCCAAGATAGAAGAAATTTTTGACCTATTGGGTCAAAAATAGATTAACTACATACATACTTTTGCACTATTATCAAACTTTCACCAACTTAAGATACCCAAAACATGGACGTGCACAACTAAAAAGATCATTCCTTTCACATCCCCATTTTAAAGTCCATTCTCTTTAGAGGACACTACAGCTACATTAAAGTAAGAGCAATTATAACATTCTGTTGAAGTTCTATCTTAGCACCAAGTTATTTTTTTCTCTTCCTGCTAAATGCAGCTGTACACCAAATTAAGCAGGGCAATGAAGTCACAAACAAGATTGGTCCTTCACAGTTCCTTTGTACTATCGCTCTAGAAAATATAATTTTTAATGTCACTAATCTATTCTTGAATACAAATTTAGTTCCATATTCACTCATTTCAAGAGTTAAAAAAGGAATAACATATTACAATGTTGGCACAGTTAGAAAGCTACCAGTCACCTAGCTATCTAGAATGCTGCAAGAAACATTAGCATTGCTCAGAACTCATACTTGTTCCAACAATACGCACATGCCCTCCAAAATATACACACCGAAAGCTGAATTCAATCTCTTCCCCGCCCCCACTGAAAGCCTGAAAGCAGTGTGTGCCAACCATCTGTACCAGGGCATTCTTATTTAATATTTGCTACTAAAACACAGAAGGGGTAAGAAGCTATCAGGTTGTTTTTCCAAGTACTCAGTATCTACCTTTTCCCATCAGAAAAGGACACAAAAACAGGACATAAACATGGGACACTGCACAATTATGACCCAACTAGGAATTTACATAGACAAGAAAACCATCACAACAGTGACATCATATAGCTTGAGCTCCCAAATATTGGTAGTACCAGAAAATGTGGTAATACCTAAGTGCCTTAACCTTCCAAAACATTAAAACAAGTGTCAATTATTGCTATACTCTTCTAGGTAGACTCCTAAGCCATTTAATGCTTTTTAGGTCAAAATGAGCACTTTGATTTGGGCCTAGAAACCATTTGGTAGCCTCACATATAATGCATTGCAGTAAACTAACCTAGACGTTGCCAGAGCATAGGCGACAGAAGTTAGGCTATCCCTGCCCAAATAGGGGCACACTGGGCTATCGGCCAAAGCTGATGAACAGCATACCTTTGGGTTTATACTTCAAATAATCTACCTGTACCTTAGCAGAAAGCAGCCTGCAATTTTATATTCATGAATTCCACTCGTATGCATGTTCAGAAGTCAGTATTACTATGTTTAACAGGGCTTACACTGGGTATATATGATGGGACTGGTGTCTTTTTACTGGTATTTATTCATTAGCATGATCACTTTGAAGAGGACATGGCAAGATAGGAGAATCAATCTCAAAGATGCTGAATAGTGCTGCTTTTGAGAAAATTATAAATATTTCATATTTCTATGCCACTATATTATAAAATATAGCAAGATGTACACTTTAAAACAAAATTTAAAACTAAAAATAAATGAATAAAAGCATAATCATTTAAGTGAACTGGCTGGTCAAAGTCTTCCAAGGCCTGGCAGCACACAAAAAACCTGTTCAGAAGTCAAAAGTGAAGGTGTCTGCTGAACCTCTGCTGGAAATGTTCCACAGCGTGGGACCCACAACACTAAATGCCCAACTTCTAGTTGAGGCTGACTGGAACTCTAAAATGGGAGACAACAAACAGCACTCCTCTATGTGATCTCAGGGATCAAGATGGGATATAAGAAGTCAGGTGGTCCTTAGGGTAACTTGGGCTTAAGTTGTTTTGTACATCAACACAAAAACCTTGAACATAGCCAAGTAGTATATGGGCAATCAGTGCAAACATTTTCAGGCGTCACCTGCTGCTGGCCACCTGCCCCCATCAACTGTCTAGTTGGCCCAGCATTTCCCAAACTTGGGTCTCCACCTGTTTTTGGACTACGGTTCCCATGACAACGGGTGCTAGCTAGGAATGATAGGAGCTGTAGTGCAAAAACAGCCGGGGACCTGTTTGGGAAACACTGGTCTAGCCACTGAATTCTGAACCAGCTGGAGCTTCCAGACAAGGTCCTAACACAAAGCACACTGTAGTAATCCAGACCTGGGGTTACTATAACCAAGTTATCCCAATCTAGTTACAGTCATGGCTGGCGCACCAAAGTAAGGGTCACTTGGGCCCATGAATGAGAAACACATACCTACAAGTACCCCCAAGCCATGCATCAGTTCCTTTAGAGGGATTGCAACCCAACCCAGAACAGGTAACTCTCCTATCGTCTGGACAATGGAACCACCCAAAGCCTCTGTCTTCCCACAACTGTTTGTTGGCTGTCATCCAGCCCACCACTGCATTAAGGCACTGGTCCAGAGCTTGCAGCCTCTCGATTTAAATGTTATGAAGAAATAGAGCTATGTGCCATCAACGTGCTGCTAGCACTGTGCCCCCAAATATCTAATGTTTGGCTTCACATTTTTAAAATATTTTAAGCATGGTTTATTAATTGTTGTCCTATCTTTTAATAGAAGAGCCTCCATGGAAAGTCTTTTTGAGTGGGAAACATGTTAGGCACTAATAAAAAGTATCACTCTTCAGCATGTTTGAGATTGAGTCCCCTTGTTGGTCATTTCAATTGGATGCTTTGTTTTTCATGCCTATTTTTGAAGAGACGCAAGAGTCACTGGGTTTAACTCCTTTTTTAATCCTTGTGTTATAGCTGTAAAATGGAACTAGTAATGCTGCCATGTGAAAGATTTGACTAGCAGTTTACAGCGTAGCTCATTTTCTTGAATTATCTGTTTTGTGTGTCAATCGGTGCCCTGGATTGACCAACTGTCCTTGTTTAAGCTTTACTGCCCGCCATCTATTATATATTTTGGGAAATAGCTTGTATCTGTCCTCAGTCATCACCAAATTTGGCGTGAGGGTTCCCAAGGCGGAGCCAGCAGTCTTTGCCAATGTTTAGTCAGCAGCCACCATTTTGAATCAAGATGGCAGACCAAAATGTCACTTTGGCGTGTCTTCACCACCCCACACATGGATTCAGGGTTAAGTCAGGTGTTCCCTGAGTTGGGTGGGTGGATGCACACACCCCTAAATCATGCCGTTACACCATCCATTTAAAAATCATGATTTTATTTTTTTGTTTCTTTGAATTCTTAGGCAGCGCCAGGCACTCCCTGCTAATCTCAAAGTGTTTTCTATCATGTCAATATTCCACATGCTGTACATGCAACTTGTCATGTCCACAGGTAGGCTCACTTTTAGTTTCCACTTTGTGCTTGTGACAGTTTCATTCTACGAAGTATTATGTTGTACTGATGCAGCCTGTTAGGTGTGAACAGTTCTTCTTGGTTACAAGATACTTAAATACATCCAATACCATGTTTAGCAACCTCCCTCACCAACTCTACCAGGTTCAACCTTCCCTAAATTGCCATTTTGTGACTACAGCTCTGGTGTTTTTTTAAAGTAAAATTAGTTGCCCAACTAAAATTAGACTGCCCAACTATCTTAACTGTACATACATGATTGTGATTAAATGTTGAAATAAATAAATCACAAAAGGTTTAATCTTTTTGCAAACTACCCAATACATTCAGTTTACATATGATCTTGATGCAGGGATAAAGCTGTAACAAAGTGTGAGAATTTAAATGTTGAGCAACTTCCTACAAGTTAAGCATTCATGTTCATGAAGCCTGAGAGAGGAATTTGTTGATTAAAAAATAATAATCTACTTTTTGCAATGTAATCAGTGGAACAATTGTACTGTTTTAAAATTAGAATGTAGTTTCAGCCTTATGTTATAAGTGATGACCAAGCAGATTTGTGTTTTTAGGAATGAGCATATAGCCAAGTTAAAATTTTGAAGAAACGTAACATGCTTCATGTGGCCAGAGGTGTAATTTCTGCTACTTATTAACACACAACTTTTCATACCTACAGCAACTACGAAACAATATGGTGACAGTAAGTTTCAGCCAGTCAATATGGCATAGTGGAAAGAAAATTGGCTTTAGCCCTGCTTTCAATCCCCAGCAGTCTTCAAATACCTGCTAAACCATGATGCTAACTGAGAGACCTTGGGCTAGTCAGTGTCCCTCAGCCTAACCTACCTCACAGTGTTAGAGGATAAAACAGAATATAAGTATCTATCTTACACATCAGATTATTCTGTCCATTTTGACTTGCTGCCATTTCTCCAGGGTCTCAGGGCAGACATCACCTGCTACCTGACTCTTTTTAATCAAAGATGCCAGAGACAGAACTTGGAACTTTCTGGGTGCAAAGCATGTGCCATACCACTGACCTATGCATGAAGTCCTTGGAGTAAGAGTAAGATAAGAATTAAATAATGGTTTTCACTGGCAAATCCTAGTTAATTCATTGACAGAAAAAACACACAAAACATTTGCACGACTCCATTACATTTGTACTCTCAATAGAACAAGAAAACTTGTATGATCTCTGGTATCACTGTAGTCCTAGCCAATCATTTTAGAAATATTGGCAATAATTATTCACTCCCAAGTTTAAATTTGATTACCTAATGATACACAAGGCAAAATCAGCCGAAGGTGGCCCTTTTAAAAAGTGTTACCTCCAGGCAAATAGATGTAGTTATCTTGTGACATGGAAGTTATCAACCAAGATGTCTCAGGATACACTTCCAACATAACCCTGAACACCTCCATAAATCAGTTTTTCTCTCTCTCCCTTGTTTATATGCCACTTTCCAACAAGTAGTTCTCAAAGTGGTTTACATATTAAAAGGTGTGTGGCAAACATGTTTCAGTAAAGCTGTTTAGTCTTCAAGGGATGACTGTCATCCATGCAACTTTCAGGAACTGTAACTTAATAGATTCCAATAGACATCTAAACGCATGCAGCAAATGTCAGTTCCACATAAAATGTCTACAAAGAAATGCCACTGCATTTACTTTTAATTCCCTATCGCTAAACTCCAAATGTTATACTAGAAATGGGCCTAAAATTGAGTGGTGAAAAAAGCAGATTTTTTCCAAGAGCTACTTTTATATACACAAAGTTATTCATCTTAAGCATTTCTATTCACTTCATTCAGTGCCTTATCCAACTATTAATTTTATGTAGCCAGCTCTTTATACTACTACTCCTGTTGGGAATTTCCCACTACACAGTAATGAAGTATCTTAAAACTACCAAAAACGTGTTTTGTGGGGCCATGTATTACATTTCAAATGAAGATTCTAGTAAAATAAAATGTACCAAAATAATTAAGTCGCAAGACACTTACAGTGTAAGAACTTCTGTACTACACAAGTAACTGTCAATGCAGAAGACTTGAATTCAACTGGCCTTTCTGTCACAGAATAGGTATAGTATTGCAACCTTAATGTCCCAGTACCAATCACTTACTTGTTTGCCCCAGTGACACTTAGGACTAGCTTTCATGAGACAGTCTATACTTGATTTGCTCAGTTAATTTGGTGGCGTATGCATAACTGCACCAATTCATGCAACACCATTTATACAGTACTTTAAAATTTACCAATAACGATGTCTGCATCAACACCTATGTGAAGATACACCAATGGCTCTCCTATGCAAACCTATCACAAGATGATCACATGGGAGCCACATCAGATATGAATGGGTCCCATATGCCAAATGGCATTGACTCAAGTTTTGCCTGATAGAATTTTTAGTCCTTTAGTATATGTTATCCTATTTTATTGTTCTGAAGTAAGCAGTGTGTCGACTACACCTCTCATCTAAATATGTTTTACTTGGAAATACATCCAAGTTATTCTTTTTCAATATAACCTATTTTTAAGCAAGCATGCTTAGATCCCCAGTTTAAAGAAGTCTATGTACTATGGTTTAATTTTGCAGCTGAAACCCTTCAGAGCTGACCAAACCTTCTCTCTGAAGACTTGTACAGTGGTGCCTCGCAAGACGAAATTAATTCGTTCCGCGAGTTTTGTCGTCTTGCGAAGCACGGTGTCGGAAAAGTTTTGGAAAAGCTTCAAAAATCACCAAAGTCTTCAAAAACCTCAAAAAAGGCTACCACACCGCGTGCTATGAGTTGCTCCTCGAAGTCAAGTCGCAACTGTATTAACGGTGTTAAGAACAAGGAAACAAACTTGCAAGACGTTTCCGTCTTGCGAAGCAAGCCCATAGGGAAAATCGTCTTGCGAAGCAGCTCAAAAAACCCTTTCGTTTTGCGAGTTTTCCGTCTTGCAAGGCATTCGTCTTGCGAGGTACCACTGTACAAAACAAGTTTCCATTCACCTTCAATTCTGGTATTTCTTTTATGTTGCTTGGGAAGTATTTATTAATCATTTATAATTTGTTCAAGTCATCCTTTAGTACCTATGATCCTGCTGGAAGTTGTCAGAAATCAAAAATCAGGAAAATAGTTGGGGGCTGCAACCCTGTTGGCATTACAATTTAATACTCATTTCCACATTTATATGAATTTGTCACAGGTCTACTAAAGTCTGCACAAAGATATTTACCATAGTCTTCCTCGTACTCTTGAAAAACTTGAGAAATTAGAATTTTGAGTCAATCTGCACCCTTAAAGTTTAAGGCTTAAACCAGTCACTCTAAATACAGCTTAAAAATCAGCACCCCCCTTATCCTCTGAGTAAACTAACACTTTGCATAAAGTATACTCCTCCTGATCTTTCTCCCTAATTTCTATGTGAATAATGGACAAGGAATGCTGATCTTGGATCATCCAGTACCCATGTTTGCCTCCTGCAAGCTAAAAAGGGAAATGCCACCAATGGATTCTTGCAGTGGCCTCTAGTAAGAGACCCTTAACAAGCAACTATTGATCACTTTCAGTCTCCAGATGATGGGTCACGGCACAAACTGCTCTATTAGATTTGCCCTCACAGAGCTACTTCGCCACTTAGTGTAAAGAGCTGAAATTACTAAGGGGAAGAGAAGGGGGCTAACTGCAGTCATCTCAGAATGTAAGAAAAGGATGGTTCTTCGCTGACTTTGCAATAGCCTTGAAAAAATTCACTCAACGAGACACAACCGATGGGATTCTCAGACAGCATCAGGATTTAAAGGGAAATGGGGCAAATAAGACGTTTGTCCTTAGCAGAGAAACACATGAAAATGTCCATTGTGTCCAACTGTATAGTCTTCCCCACCTCCATGCCTAAGCAAATCCGCCTGAACGAGAAATAAAACGTGTGATCCAGAACACACTTCGCTCAGGACTGGATTATTTTAAGTCGTCTCCCTCTCGCCGGCCAGAGAAGTCAGGTAAGGTTGCAGGGATTCGGAATTGCGAAGGAATTAATTCGAAATCTGGTTAAATGTGCGCTTTAATATACGCTCCAAAACTCTAGAGGGCACTCGAAAGATACCCTCTCCATTCCCCTCCCCCGCGCGGCCGAGCCGGGTAAGGCGAGCAGCAGGAGCCCGTCGTCTGCTTGCGGGTGTTGGTATTGCAGGAGCGATGTCTGCAGCAGAGCCCACCCCGGGGGGAGGAGTCGCCTCACGGCCATTACCGGGGCTTTGCTCCAGGGCAGCAGCTGCTGCACCCAACAACCCCCCCTTTTACCCTGGAAGCACCTCCTCTTAACCCCCCCACACCCATCCACTCCTCGTGCCAAAAAAAGGGGGGAGAAGGATGATCTACCTCCTGCTCCTCCCCAAGGCAGAAAAACATATAAATAGCACTCACAATGGAGCTCCTTCTCCTTGCGAGGCTCTTGCCAAGGCTGCACCAAACTGGCCTGGAGCCTAGGGAGAAGAGGTGCTGGTGGAGCGTGAGGGAGGGGGGGGCTTGAATTGTGTTTTAATCGAGGTAGTGGGCGCGCCTCCTCATCTTCCCCTCCAGGAGACGCCCTTCCTCCTGGGCAAAGAAACGGGTTGGCAGCAGGGCCCTCCACTTTGAATCCTTCAGCCCCTCCAGCACAGCCCCCTTCTCCCAGTGGGATACAAACCTATTGCCCCAGAGACAGGCTCCACCCGCCCCAGCGCCTCCCCCACAGCCCCACCTCGGGTGGGGGGTCGGCCCCGTCCCCCAGCGCTGCTCCCCAAGGGCGCCCAGCCTTGGGAGCCTTTGCTGGAGGGCAGCGGGGGGGGGGTAGTTTGGACAGGCGCGGGGGTGGGAGAGGAGGCAATAGCGAAGACTTTCTCCCCACCCACCCAACACATACACAAAGCCGCCTCTTCTTTCCCCCTTCAGAGCTCTCTCTGGGGACCGAGTGTTAAGTCGATTGAACACCCCCCCCCAACAAACACACACACGAACACACGCGCATATACACATACACACAAAAACAACAACCCGCGCGCGCGCCTCCAGCGCCGAGATCTGCCCTGGCGCCCGTCCCTGCCAATTGCCCCGGGTGTCGGGTTTGGCCCCCTGCAGTCGGCCGGCAGCACTGCCGCCTCCAGTCGGCCGCCATTAAGGAGACCCAGCCAAACAATACGGGAGGGGAGCGCGAGAGAAAGCGGGAGATGGGGGGGGGGGAGAGAGAGGAGGATACGCGGAGCGCAGCGCTGGGCGCAAAGAAGGGCGCCGCGAAAGGGGGGGGAGGGGAGCTGGCGGGGCGGAGGGCATTGAAAACAAAACCGCGGGCGAGGCGGTTGGAAACGAAGTCGTGATAAAATGGATCCTTCCCTTCTCCCCCCCCCCGCTCCCCACGCCGCCACCCCAGATACCCCCCGAGGCAGCCCCCCCCGCATTTCTGCCCTCAGCGCCCCTCAGTGAGGGGGGCTTCCTCCTGTCCGTCCCCCCAACCGCCCCCCTCCCCCGCCCCCAATCCCTGCTGGCGTGAGGCGAGAGCGACACGCAGCGGGGCATTTAGCCCGGGTTGCTGCGAGGCACGGCTGGGCTGCTCCAATCCCCACCCTGAAGGGGCAAGCTGGGCTCCAGCCAGCCACCCGGCTCTCCTCTACCTCAGCCGCTTCCTCTCACGGCCCTCACCAGTCTCGGGGGGGAGAAGTAGCTCGCCCCGGCGGCGGCGGGTCACACGCACCCTCCGCGGCTCCACCAACGCTTCCTCAACTCTAACTCGGTCCAGTCCCGGGCTAAGCGCTGCTGCTTGGCGGAGGGGAGGAGCAGGGACCAACCCCACCAGCCGAGCTCGGGGAAAGGCCGCCTCGTGCGCCCGCTTATTGGCCTTCCCAGGAAGAGGGCTTCGTTGCCTGCAGAACCCATTGGAGCGGCTTCCCGCCTATCAGCGTCCCCGCCGCAGGTGGTTGGGCCGAGCCCCTGTCAATCCGATTCTCACTCACGCCTACCGTCCCTCCCTCTTCGGTTCCATCAGGTTAAACCCGAATCGCATTGCCCACCACCAACAGCTGCAGCACCTCTGCCTTTCTCCTGGTGGATGGGCGGGTTTGGGGCCCCAGAGGTTGCTGCTGCTGCCGGGTACTTTCCTGCAGAAGTTTGTGCTCTTTCCCCCCCTCCATGAAAGCGGGATGGCATCCCTTTTACTCCGCATGACATTTGCCAGGGAGGGAGGTGGTGTGTTTAACCCATTAATTTGCCTTCCACGGTCCCTCTGGGCAATAATTGCAGCAGAGACGTGTGGCTTCGGGTGTGAGCACCCTGTTCCGTGGGGTAGGTGATGGTTGCCACGCTTCGTCCACATTTTTAGGCGCACGCGCGCCCCCACAGCAGGGCTGGGAAACCTGGATCCATTTCCAAAAGGGGGCAGAGTAATGGAAACAGTCTCCCCACTCTCCAAGCTCTTTCCCAAGGGCAAAGATCCCTGTCTCCATTGAGGAACCCCCCTTTTTTTCCCCTCCCCCTGCCTACTCCGGAGAAAGAAAGCTGTGTCCCTTGCAACTGCCAGCACGGCTCCTGGTGGTGGTAGTGGTGGTTGGTAATGGTGGTGACGTCCTCCATTTTGTCGGAAGCTGCTGCAGGCAGGGAACTTGGGACCACTTCAGACCAACATGGGGCTCTATGAGGTGCCTGGTTTCAGAGCCTCTCGCCTCAGGGTCACAGCAAAGCGCGGGGGGGAACCTCTGGCAATGCCCTAAAAGGGATAAATCGAACCCAGAGCCGCCAAGGCGGCAAAGCACCGAGAACCACGCTCCCCACCCTCCCTCAGCCAAAATGGAGGATGCGCACTTCCCTTGCGCGGTTGGTTCCCCGTTCCCCATCCATGGGATTGACGCCCGCTTCTTCGAGGACGGGGGCGTGCTCAGTCTTCTGCCTGGTTGGTTAACCCACCGACTACCCCGTGGGTTGTCCCTCTCTCTCTCCTCGACAAAAACGGGGAGAAAGAGGCGGGAAACAACGCCACACAGTCTTCTCCACCTTGCAGCTATTCCACAAACGTACACGCAGCAGCACGGTATTTTATTCCCTGGAGAAAGGCTTATTATGTACGGGGGGAAAGGGAGCGGGCAAGAGCTGTTGGCCCCATTTCTGTCTCAGATATGCAAGAGCTTCTCGCGATGCCAAGTCCCTGGGTAACTTGCGCGGGAGCTCAGTTCGAAGAGTTTTAAGTTCGCTCGGTTGCCCTCGGTGGCTAATTTCCCTGCGCCGCAGACGCGAGCATTCTGAACGCGGCGCTGTCGCTGTACCATATCTAGTTCCCTCCTGCCACCAGCCCTGAACAGAGACGCAGGCAACAGCCAACAGGTCTAGCCAAATGCGTATGTGAAACTATTAATAGGATGCTGCCGATTTAATGGGAAATGCGAAAGCTTGCATTTCTAGGTGGGCAAACAACGTCGCAGAAAGTCTATAAACTCTAATGGATAGTGAAGGGGAGAACTTAATTTTTCACTTGATGGCCTATATTAAAAGGCTGGACAATGAGATTATCTGCTTTGATAACTGCATTTCCTGTTACATTATTTTCAATTGGCGTTTGATAGTGGAGACAGAAAAGGAAGAAGTTTTGTTGGTTTAGTCATTATCCGCAGCATCTTTCAGGACTTATGTTGTATTGTGTGGGTTTTTTTGGTTTTTTTTAAGACTGACCATTTCCATTGCTTTCTCCATATAGGAATCTAAATGCTGTACTCTGAAATCTGAAAACCTTGACTTTTATTTAAGGGTCATTACTTGGGATTCAGAGGCACTTCTGAAGAAACGCGGGTAGGATCCCACAATTTAAAGAAATGGTTCCCAAAGATTTTTGGGCCACCGCTCCCTTGGTTCCATAAACTCATTCCTTTTTCTGTAAAAAGCATTATTCAGAAGAGCGGTCCACTAAGGAAGATGATAACACAATAAAATTGAAAGCAGTAACAATTGCACATTTATTCAAAATCTAATATATTTAGTTGACTAATTCAACAAAATTTACGAACTTGATCCAGTGATACCAACTTTTCAAAGCCTGATAATCATTTACATCTCCAGCACCTCCCTGCCACCCACTTGCCTCTTACCGTCCCCTAGGTAATCCCACCACCCCCAGGGGACGGTACCACCCACGATGGGAACCACTGATTTAGAGTACCGGTATTTTTAAGTTGACTAGTTTTGTGAAAAAATTGTGATTCTAGTTGAAAGCACTCAGAACACTGCACATTCTCAAAGTCTGAGGTTGAACATTCTCAGAGTCACACTTGAGTATTGCTGCATTCCATCATCCACAGGAAATTCTTTTTTAACTTTACCAAGACTGGGACAAGAAGTATCTACCACAAGAGTCTATGTACAGTGGTACCTCGGGTTAAGAACTTAATTCGTTCTGGAGGTCCATTCTTAACCAGAAACTGAGGTACCACTTTAGCTAATGGGGCCTCCCGCAGCCGCCGCCGCACAATTTCTGTTCTCATCCTGAAGCAAAGTTCTTAACCCGAGGTACTGTTTCTGGGTTAGCAGAGTCTGTAACCTGAGGCACCACTATACAAAAAGAGAATTGGAAGAAATACTTTGTCTTACTGTCATATTAACTCCAATGACATCCACATATGCACATCAGTGACTTCTAGAGATGCTGAAGTATATATACAGATGTTTGCCCCCCCCCAAAAAAATGGCACCTGTGACGTTGGAATTAAGTAATCCATTCCTTTAAATCATATATTAACTTCATGGCTATATTTATCATACATAAGATGTAAATTAGTGTGAGGAAAGTTATAAATAAATACATTGAGTGTTATACAATGTTAGTCATACTCAGGGTAGGCCCAATGAAATCAATCGGCTTCTGTAACTATATTGGATATCACCCACTGCCACACAAAGCTGCCTTCTATTGATTCAGACTATTGGTCCACCTAAGTCAATACTGTCTCTACTCTGATTGATGGTAGTGTCAGACAAGAGCCATTCCCACCTCTTCTTGGAGACTGAACCTTGGACCTTCTGTATGATTGGCAAATGCTCTTCTGCTGAGCTACAACTCTTCCCCCAAAGAAATAAAACAAAAAGAGGGTCATGTCAATTTAAACACTTATGCAACCCAAAGCTGTATCATCAGCCAGAATTAGTATAACAAAATTGTTTTAGGTTGAGCAAAATAGTTTCACTGCCTCAACAACTAAAAATATTTTTCTGTTGTCCAGACTACATTTAAGAAAATGCAATTCTTAACAATTTACTTTTACATACTGCTTCTTTAAAGTTTAAATAATTTTATATACTTTCAGAGTGTTGACATCAACCATCTGTAAATAAGGATTTATTTACCGTATTTTTTGCTCTGTAAGACGCACCAGACCATAAGATGCACCTAGTTTTTGGAGGAGGGAAACAAGAAAAAAAATATTATGAATCTCAGAGCCAGAACAACAAGAGGGATCGCTACGCAGCGAAAGCAGCGATCCTTCTTTTTGTTCTGGCTTCTGGGATAGCTGCACAGCCTGCATTTGCTCCATAAGACGCAGACACATTTCCCCTTACTTTTTAGGAGGGAAAAAGTGAGTCTTATAGAGCAAAAAATACGGTATGTAAAGACTTGATTAGGGGTTTTTTTGCTCATCCCTGTTCATCAAGTAGTGTTACAAAACTGCCAGGGATAGTTCATTCAGTAGAGCAAAAGGCTCTTAATTTTAGGGTCATGATTGGGCAGAAGATTCCTGTATGACCCTTCTGGTCCCTTCCGACTCTACAGTTCTGTAATTCTAATTTTACTCTTAATCAGCAGCCGCAGAAAGTGTGGCAAACAGCACTTTTGGAAAAATTAACAGAACAGCTAAAAACAAATAACAACACAGATTTCAATTATTTTGTTGAACACCTGTACAATTTCATTCAGTATATTTGAAACAGTGAAAGAGCAAAAGTTTCACCGGCAACACACCAGCAACACATTGACAGACAATTGTGGTTGGATCTGTTAACGCAAGTGTGGGGAACCTTTGGCTGAGCTACAAGTCCCATCAGCCCCAGCATGTCTGGCAGATGGCCAGGGATGATGGAAGTTGTAGTTCAGCAACATCTGGAGGATCAAAGGTTCCCCGCACCTGTCTTAACAGAACCACCCAAAACTGTTCTTACGCTGTTTTGCTAGATATAGGATAAGTTATGTTACATGATACGAACATCCAAACAAATAAGTACCGTATTTTTTGCTCTATAAGACTCACAATTTCCCTCCTAAAAAGTAAGGGAAAATGTAAGTGCGTCTTATGGAGTGAATGCAGGCTGCGCAGCTATCCCAGAAGCCAAAACAGCAAGAGGGATTGCTGCTTTCACTGCGCAGCGATCCCTCTTGCTGTTCTGGCGTCTGAGATTCAGAATGTTTTTTTTCTTGTATTCCTCCTCCAAAAACTAGGTGCGTCTTGTGGTCTGGTGCATCATATAGAGCGAAAAATACGGTAATTTGTATTTACTTACACAGGTAACAAGAAATCTGGACACTTAAGGGCAAGGGATTATCTGGGTGGTAGTGTGTATCAGTTTAATTCTTGTTTATTTATATTCATTCTACTCTTGAAAATGAACTAATAAACAAATACATTTTAGAAAGATTGTAAGCCTATGGACACTCCATAGGACATAAACCCACTGAACACAGTGTAAGCATGCTTAAATTCCTGCAAATCCTAAAGGTATTAAAACAGTCTTCTAGCTAAAAGTATATTTGAGAAATACAGACATTTCTTAAAGTATTTCTGCTCACTTCTGACATAGACTGGCCAGATGCATCTCCAAAAAAGAGGAAATGTATCACCAGAAAAGCGGATACAGTGGTACCTCGGGTTAAGTACTTAATTCGTTCCGGAGGTCCGTTCTTAACCTGAAACTGTTCTTAACCTTAAGCACCACTTTAGCTAATGGGGCCTCCTGCTGCCGCTGCGCCTCCGGAGCCCGATTTCTGTTCTTATCCTGAAGCAAAGTTCTTAACCTGAAGCACTATTTCTGGGTTAGCAGAGTGTGTAACCTGAAGCGTATGTAACCTGAAGCGCATGTAACCCGAGGTAGCGCTGTACAGGTTTGCATAAAATTTAGAAAACAATAATAATTTAAATAGAGATACAATACACCTCAACATAGTGGGGAAGACTGCTCTAGCTGACCTGTGTACCTGCTCATTTTGTTATCTAGGTGCTGAATGTTGATGGGCAACTTCAAGGTCCCTACACTTAGCTATTATATGTGAATTCAAATCTCCAGGGCCTGATGAGCTGCATCCATGGATACTAAAGGGACATGCGGATGTAATCTCAGAGCCTCTGTCTATAATCTTTCAGAATTCTTGGAGAACAGGGGAGGTCTCTCCAGACTGGAGGTGGGCAAATGTTATCCCCATCTTCAAAAAGGGGGAAAAAGAAGACCCAGGTAATTACCTACCTGTGAACTTGACTTCGATACATGGAAAGGCCCTAGAACAAATAATTCAACAGTCGGTCTGTGAGCACTTAGAAAAGGATGCTGTGATTAGTAAAACCCAGCATGGTTTCCTCAAAAACAAGTCATGCAAAATAAATTTCTTTTTTTATGGAGTTACAAGCTTGGTGGATCAGGGGGATGCTGAGGACATAGTGTATATTGACTTTAGTAAGACTTTTGACAAAGTCCCTCATGACATTATTGTGAGAAGCTGATAAAATGTGGGTTGAACAAGGGTAACTGTTAGGTGGATTCGTAGCTGGTTGACTGACCGAACCCAAAGACTACTCATTAATGGTTCCTCACCATCCAGGGAAAAAATGACAAGTGTGGTGCTGCAGGGTTCTGTCCTGGGCCCATTGTTCTTCAACATCTATATAAACGACTTGGATGAAATAATTGTGAGTATGCTAATCAAATTTGCAGATTACACCTAATGCTACAGATGACACCTAATGCCACAGAAGACAGAATCAGGATTTAAAATGACCTTAACAGATTGGAGAACTGTGGATAACAGTTGGATAACAAACTGAATTTCAACAGGGACAAATGTAAGGTTCTGCACTTAGGCAGGAAGAACCAGATACACAAATGTAAGATGAGGGACACCTGGCTTATTAGTAGTACATGTGAAAAAGATCTAGGGGTTATAGTGGACCACAAGCTTAACGTGAGTCAACAGTGTGATGCAGCAGCAAAAAAAAGCTAATGCTATTCTAGGCTGCTTCAACAGAACTACAGTATAGTGTCCAGATTAAGGAAAGTAATAGTACCAGTCTTTTTGCTTTGGTCAGACCACACCTGGAATACTGTGTCCGGTTCTGGGCGCCACAATTTAAGAAGGATGTTTACAAGTTGGAACATGTGCAGAGGAGGGCAACCAAGATGATCAAGGGTCTGGAAACAGCCTTTTGAGGAGTGCTTGAAGGAGCTGGGTATGTTTAGCCTAGAAAAGAGGAGACTGAGAGGAGATATGATAACCATCTTCAAATATCTAAAGCGCTGTCACACAAGAAGGAAAGAGAGATACAGTGGTACCTCGGGTTATAGACGCTTCAGGTTACAGACGCTTCAGGCTACAGACTCTGCTAACCCAGAAATAGTACCTCGGGTTAAGAACTTTGCTTCAGGATGAGAACAGAAATCGTGCGGTGGCGGCGCGGCGGCAGCGGGAGGCCCCATTAGCTAAAGTGGTACCTTAGGTTATAAGAACAGTTTCAGATTAAGAACAGACCTCCAGAACAAATTAAGTTCTTAACCCAAGGTACCACTGTAGAAAGTGAAACCCAGCCTCCTTCTGGCCTTATTGCTATAGCCAGGATGACCTTGACAGAAAGAGATAACAGAACCAGTTTAAGCCAGCTGTACTCAGCTTCTTTGAAGGAAAAAGCCAAACATTGTGAACCTTCTGCTTGTTTCTAGGCAGAATAGAAACTTACTTGTCAGCTAGAAA